CACACTCTGTATGCACTAAACTTGATTGCTTTCGCTGACCGGAAAACAACGTTTTATATGCAGTCAGCGTTAACCCATCTAAAGAATTGGGAACAGTAAGTAAATACGAGGCAACTCACAAGGCACAAGGAAATTATGAGCCAAAGCGATGTTAAACACGCAGAAATGCACCATTAGCTCAGCAGTTTCTGTCAAATTCAAGACTGTGCTGCCGAACTAGCCATACATACAACTCTTACCTTGCCATCCCTTCACTCAGTCTTAGTTATGAAGCCCTCAAAGCAAAGGTATGCCACGCAAAAGCTTGCAAAAGATGAGTTGCTTACTGAGACAGAAGCTGCCTTTCTAACATGCAGACATGGCTTCTTAGCCGTTATCTTTCCATGGCGCATCTTAACAGCAGGCGTATTGCACTATGGCCCCAGAAACAAAGAATGAAGAAAAAGACAATGAGAGAGATAAGACCCCTCCCAACTTCCTCAGTGTGAGGGAGTCATTTTATCAACACGCTGCATCCACGACACCCTAAAGCGGGCAGAAAACAACATGCGTTCACTGTGCCCTGGGGACAGCCATTGCACAAAACAAGCACCCTATGGGCTACTTTTTAATTTCTTTTTCACACTGTATGAAAGAGCTTTTTTATTCTTGTAGTTTAAATGTAAACCAATGAATAATAAAGAGGGATGTTCATAACTGGGCTAGGATTACCAAACATAAAATAATTACATGCTACTAAAGATGAAATTGCAGTTGCACTCTAATTAACCAAGTGTAGGTGATAAGTCAGCACCAATCACACAATTGATGCACACAATATTCACACAACTTTTGCAGTTTCAAAAAAAAAAAAAAAGCACTGCGTGCATAAAAGCACATACAAAGCTTTGCTACGAAGAATGTTACCTGTGCAATACGTGTAAGGCACACTTGCCTAAGGAGTGAAGAAATGCGCAAAAATAGACTTTTATAGAGAATTACGCCAGTACAAGTAAGTGTTACATACTCCAGAAAGTAGCACAATATAGTAAATTTAGTTGAGTGTGTTCCCATAGATCAGTATTGCAAAAAAAAAGTAACTGTTTTCTGTATCAGTATTGCACCAAATAGGAAACATGACCGAGTGAGTCGAGTTTCAGATAACTTCAAATAGCACATAAATGAACATAGCAATGATGGCACGGCACATGCAACTCTACTTGGTACGTTTCTGATGGGTCATAAGTCTTGAAGAAATTGGCTCCCTACCCTGATTTGTTCGATGAGAAGCTGCAGATACGAGTCTGCTTCGGTGAGCTTGGTGTCAAAGTTGTGCTGTGTCGGCGCCACAATACCCGTCTGATCCCACAGACGCTGAAAATGCACAAGTGTGTTGTATGAGCAACGTTTTGCCCGCAGAAAGCCTGTGTGACGGACGGACGTTGTAAGAAATGTTGGTTTTGCACATTTCAAGGAACAGGTAATGTGAAACGTTGGATGAGAAGAAAACAGCTGACAGACTAGATACTTACGGAGTTTGACAGCTGACAGACTAGAAACTTACGGAGTTTGGTTGCCGCTGTAACGTATGCCTCAGGATCGTATCCTCCAGCGCACGCACCCACCGCTCTCGCTCCTCTGCGTCGCGCGCTGCATGACGTCCGAAACAATACAAGCGACGGTCTTCACAAAGGCGACATGGGCACTCTCAAAGCGACAGCTCTGGTTACTCATGAGCGGAAAAGCGCCGACACGTGCGCCGCATTCCTTGAGCGAAGTCGGCCAGGATCGCTCACCTTGGAAGTGAAAGATCTTGCGGTCCACGCGAATCGTGAAGGTGCTGTCGTCTTCATCGTCGATTCCTATAACTGCCCCCTGCATCGGCCGGGCGCGAATCGGTGAGAACGTAAAAAAATGGGACGACGCTCAATCAAGAAAGCTTACCTGGAGTCGCACGCAGCCACGCCGCGCTCCCCGGGCCATGTTTTCTTTAGACTGAAAATTTTGAAGCAAGGAGGCGAAGCAAGCGTTGAAAATGACTTAGACACCGGCTTCGTGCGCTGCCAATGCAACCTTCCCGAAAGCATGCAACTACGCCCAAAATCGATGGGTTGCGCAATGCACGGCCACGTCGTCGAGACGAATGAATACGTACGGTGTAGTAGGACAACAGCCCTGCGTTGTCGTCTAGCACAAACCAGCGATACTGCCAGCCTTTCATGACGTTTGTCCATTTGCTAAGCGGTCCTTCGACGCTTGAAGCAGCCATCTTCACCTGCCGATCATGGCACACAGGGTTGCGAGGCGGCTCGTCCGACATACCGCACAGCAGCATCATATCCCGCCCACAACAGTTTACAAAAAGGATCAACGCTTTTGTTCGCGGGAACGTGCTGACTTGCGGTGGTTATGAAATAGCGGGAAGGATACTTTATGAGTCAACGAATTCATTCTTATCTCAGGTTTGATGGGTGACTGATAGATGAATGTATTGAAAAAAAGACAACGCCTACTTAGTACAGTGCAGTTTCGGTTTCGGTTTAAATTGAGCGCGTGTTGTTGACGCTGCGGTAAAGATATCGTGGCTGTGCTACTTACGCTGCCTTCTCACTGTGAACGCCTTTTCAGTTCCTCCGTGAAGCATTCCAGTCATTCGGGATTGCTCATTACACTACACCAAACATGGCAGCGGGCGTTTCTATAATATCAAAGCAAAGTTTCTTTAATTTAAAGTTTTGTTATATGGCGCAAATCTGTTAGTTATGGTGTGAATTTTGTAAGAGGACTACGTTCTTCGCCCGTTTCGCTCAAAGAAGTACTTGAGACATGTGGTTTACTGCATTGTTTAGAATTAATATTATTTCAGTGCACAGGTTTTATGCCTAACCATTGCCGATGCGGGCCAATTTACGAAAGTGAAGTGATTCTGATGTCTGCTGGTAGTTGAATGTCTTCCCGAAAAATAAGAATAAACAACGATGACACATGGTTTCTTTAAGGAAGAAAAAAAAAAGCAAATAGTCTAGATGCTTTATTATACAGTGAGCACAAAACCACGAGGACCGCTACTATTTTCTTACAGAGTTTCGAATAGTGGTGCATGCAACTGCACGCGTCATCGAACACTTACGAGAGTCGTCGAGCACGTGCACCAGTGATGACAATTAATGAATGATTCGAGAACTAAAGAGACGTAGTTGGTGAACAAATGCAGAAATATGACTTTATTCACTCTGCGTTTCTTAATATCCGAAATTAGGCAGCTACCCAGAAATCGTGTAGCACTGAGAGCTAAATGAATATATGAGTAATATAGGACATTTCTCACGAAGCAATGATGTTCTAAGGAAACAGGTATAATCTATACAAGTTAAATACGCTAGTGGGACTTTGTAACCTTATATTGAGCGTATCATATTTTAAACTAGGAAATTTCTTCCTCAATAACAGGTCAATAAATATAAAGTAGAATATGTCCGTTGATATTTTTCTAACCTTTCAATGAAACTGTAGAGACTATGAGTGCATGGCATCATACAAAAGCCAAACGTATTGACGCGCGCGCACACGCACACACACACACACACACACACACACACACACACACACACACACATTGTAAGCATATATATATATATATATATATATATATATATATATATATATATATATATATATATATATTATATATATATATATATATATATATATATATATATATATATATATATATATATATATATAGTAATATTTATTTATGTATATATATTTATATACTTCGTTTTCACGTCAATGCGAATTGATGAATGACGGCTCCATCAATTCCTCCGCTCCTGGCTAATGTGAACACTGCGCAGGACTATATCCACCCCTTTTTTAATGTTTATTACGTAACTTGGCATAGTTACTCATTTTTAGTGTTTTAGCATTGCCCAATAAAAAATGGGGCTAACCAATAAATGTTGAACTTTTCTGATTGTTTTGCTGCAAAGCAAATTTCAACCAGATAATTTGTAACAAAACTACAGGTCATTAAAATAGGTGTCTTCTAAGAGAATCACCCCGTATAGAAACAGTGATCTTATATGAATAACGGGCATATGCATTTTTATGGCAGTTTATGGCGTATATATGCCATGAACGACCCTGAAGGGAAAAGAAAAAAATTCGAATTTGTGACAATGTGAAATAGAAGGATACACTCGAAAGAAATGATATATGCGTGAATTCTGCTCCATAATCTTCTGTTGACTTTGCGTGTTATCTTATCACCGTGCTTTCCCAAGGCCTTAATGGGGTATCAGAGGTGTCGTTTATGTGAGGTGCCTAGGTGTGATATTTCCTCACCTACACGAGGTGAGCGTTCACTACCGCAAGTGTTTCCCACTCACGGTATAGTGGATGCTAGCAGCACTTTTGAATGAACGTATGTATACCCAATAAAGTGGGCAGAGGGATGACAGCCACCGTAGCTTAGTGGCAGGGCATGTGGCGTGTTTTCCGAAGGTCGCAGATATGGCCCCTGTTGCCAGTAAGTTATTTTTTTTTGTCCTCTACTATTTCGTCATATTTATATTACGGTTATTTCATGACAGCATCAGCACCGTTAGGCCGTCAGCTTTTGTCTTGAAACAACATAATGAGAAATTTGTTTTCGAGGTTATCACTGTTCTGTTCTTGCTTAAATTTATAAAAAAAAAAAGATATCCCCCTTTTGTCCATATTACCCAACAAAGCGTTTCGCACATTCGCTTTACTGCTTTGTTTAGAAGGACGAACTAAATTCCATAGTTTTATGCCTCACCATTGCTACAGAGCAACAACACTCTACTATCACGAATGTTAGCTGATTTGCGAAAGGTGGGCCGATACCGATGTCTGTCGGCAGTAAAATGCCCCGAAAGATAACAAGCACAAACAGCATTTCCCAATGCTGCATCTATAAACGAGGACGACACAAAACAAGCCAAACCAACAACAAACAACCTCGTTGCTGGATCATGAAGCGATGACAAAGCCTCGGGGACCACTAGTGTTTTATTTGCATAGTTTCGAATTGGGATGCAGGTAATTGCACGCCCAAGTTCACACTTGCGTGATGATCACAGTAGAAAATGAACTCATAAATAATCGAGAATGTCGAGACGTAATCGACGTACAAACACAGAAAGATTTTATTAGTTCTGAAATTCTAAAGAATACGAGGCTTGAGAACTATCAAGTAATCCTCTAGCTCTGCAGAATTCCACAGCCTGCATTGGTGGAATAAATTTTGCGTAAATCAGCTTTATATTTGTATCACAACAGCGGTTTATTGCTCGGGCGCCAACATCTGGGCCGCAAGTAAATCACAGACCGTTCTCGAAAGCTGTTGAAAGATGTGGAATGTTCAATTCCTGGTCGCAACGAGTCCCGCCTATAATCAGCGACTCGAGCAGAGCAGGACGGTAGGCCCCGAAAGGAAGTGGTCGAAATGCGAAATTGGTCATCGCGGAATTAATCATTCTGTCGGCGATAGCTAGGCCGACAATGTGCGCGCCATCCTAGATGTAAGTGCTCTGGAACGAGCGGGGCGGAGTCCAGTCAACGAAGACGCCGTCGTCGGAGGCGGTGTCCCCCGGCGCAGGATGTTTGCAGCGCTCGAACTCTTCGAGCTCCATGGTCGAGGCTGTCGAAGTCCTGAACGGGCCACTGCTGACATCCAGACTACGGCGCTTCCTGCGATCCAAATATAAGCAGCGGCGGCTGCGTAAATAAAAAAAAATAGCGGCCATTTTGTTCATATACGTATGGGTTGTGTTTTATTTACGTATGGGTTGTGTTTTAATACTTAAGAATTAAACGATGCTTTAAAATAAAGTTTGAATGAAACGAGCATGGGTTCCCAGGTCGCGAGCGATAGCATCGTTCTATCCAGTCTTCTCTGAATCGGTCGGGCGGCTTTCGCTATTTTCATGGTCTCGCACAGCTGAGGGGTATTGAATGCGAGTGCACACTCAAAAATAATCACCCCTCCGTCATAGGAATTGGTACTACAAGAAAGAGAAACGTGTCTTCGCAGATGCAGTTGAGCGTCTGTTTTGCATTGTTTCTCTACAAGGGCGAATGGGTGAATGCTATAGAATCAAATTGTAATGTGACGCAAAGTCCGGCAACCAGCTCGAAACTTGAATCGTGCTCCTCGGGCAGAAAGGGTGCACGAAAAGAACATACCCAGAAGGAGCGCGATATGATAACCGTCACAGCTCGACACCTAAAGCGCTCTGGTCGAACACAAAGCGTGAATTGACACACGTCACAATTGTTTCTTATCGGTGTGTAAGCAGCGAGCTACTTTCACAAACCCAGCTGTCGCATCGAGGGAAGCAATCTTCATGCTCTCTGTAACTTCAACGTGCACTTGCGAAAAATGCGCACGACGTACAAACCACCCTGATCTCGAGATAAACGCACGGGCGACCACGCCATGTTGAGGCATGCGCACATCGCAACGTGGGGAGGACGGCCTTTAAGCTCGCCCTTCGCACCACCTCATTGATGATAACAAGAAGACGCCGAAGCCACCTAGCCCTGAGTACCACCAACAGTAATTGGTGTATATATATATAGATAGCATGCCACTATAAAGCTGAAGAACGTATGCTTTTTCACCGAGTCTACTCGTGCCGTTCGCGCTGCGAAGTGAGAGGTCGTAGGTTCGACTCGCGGTGACATGAAATTTTTTTCTTGTTTTTTCTTTGTCATGTGCTGGTGCATATTTTACAACGTCATATTCGTGATGTAAATGCGTCAGTGGAGTCGCGGTGGAACCCAGCATAACACCTTCGTGTTAAAAAGACAGTAATACAAATTTGTTTTAAAGCTAAATCTCAAGGCGGAACACTTGCTAGGGTTGACTCGCCCCCAAAGACTTAGCACAAAAATGGTCAGAGCTTCCCTCCTTTCACCATGGTTTAACGCCGATGGTAAGCAGGAAGGAGAGAACGAGCAGGAAATGTCGCGTTGTGTGCCATCTCTATACAAGCATTTATGTACAAACATTAATGTAGCAGCAACAAGTTTAGATGGCTAAGGTATAACCGATAGTTTGCCACAGCTATAATCTCGATCTTTAGGCACGCGAATAGAAATCTGCCTACAAAAAAGATAAAAGACTGCACGAACGTCATCTACCGAGTGGTATGACCTATAGTGCTGTCTCTTTAATCTGTCTTTTTTTTTTTTCATTTCTCAGTAGGCATCAAACTTCTATATCGATGATAAATCCCCATGGCCTGGTGTAGGCCTTATACTTGCAGCATTGACTATTATTTCAATCACAGCCCCGTACACTAGCATTTCTAAAATGGTGGAATTGTGGGGTTAACTGTGCACAGTTCACACGTTTTCGGAATTCCAAGTGCGATTTGAAGACAAGCTTATTTGTTACAAGGACATCGATACTTCATTTTATTGACTTCTCCTTAAACAAGAAAGGAACCGTGGTAAGATGAAAGTTGGGGAATCGGTACGGGGTCATTAACTCCAAAAAATTAACGCCGAGATCCGCGTGTCAAGTTCTACCATGCTCTCGCGAACCGTGGGCGCTGGACTAATAAAAAAAAAAAAAGAAAAGGAGTGCAAAAAAAAAAAAAAAATTGGCCCCGTATCTGCATGATTTACTGCGAATGTCGTCGAAAGACGACAGTGTTCCGTTTGGGGAAACTGAATAAAAAAAAACGTTTATTTGATGTTCTGCGCGAGAAAACTGGCGAGTGGCATTCTGGAGGCGCTACGTGAGACATGAGCGCCATATGGTGGTGATCTTTGAAAACGAAAGAATGGCCTCTGATATTGCGAGCGTGCGGCGGGCGCAATCTCGGAGGCCATAATTAGTAGAACGCAAGGCCACGGGTAGGTGGCGGCAACGTATGGTCTAAGCTAGAGCACCTGGATACCCGTTCACCCTATAGTCTTAGCAAAGCGCAGGAAACACCCGCCTTTCGTGCATGGCGCCGCATTGTCAGCACAATGCAGTAGATGATACGATCCCTAGAATTACTCATGTATGCCTTTTCTAGTATAAAGAAACGCACCAAAATTATTGACGTGTTCATAATGCGCCTCAGATATGCGCAATATTTGCTTTTTAATTGAAAATGCGCACAAGTATGAACGTAGAACCCAGATCAAGATTGATGGGTGTTGAGGAAGTGGTTGAACTTTAGACGTTTCGGTTATTATTTATTTTATTTATTTGGAACATTACCCGCTGTGCCATGAATATTAGGCATTATTGCGAACAGCGCAGTGCCTCATGGAATGAATCCGTAGTCCTGCGGCCAACTAAATCACCTGGTAACATATTACATTCGGCAATGGCTTGCGGAAAAAAAGAATGCTTAAACAGATCCGTTCTGGGGTTGTATGGCCGTACTTTAAATTTGTGGCCATGACGAGAGGATTGATAATGCGCTGGTTTTAAATATCATGTTTTCTTGTTATAGATAGAATAAAATAGTTTCAATCTTAGATTACGTCTTTGATCTTGTAAGTATTGCCAATTAAGTTCTCTTTTCATACATTGGGAGCTTTCAGTTCGGTCATATTTTTCCACAACAAATCTTGCTGCTATCGACTGAATGCGCTCTATAGTGCATAATTGTGTACTTTGTGAAACGGATCCCACACAGGACAGGCGTATTCCAGTATTGGTCTGAGATAGGCGTAATATGCGGCCTGTTTAACCTCCTTGGTTAGATGTTTAACATTTCTTTGTAAAAAGCCTACGGCTTTTCCAGCTCTGCTGAGAACACCGACAGACTGGCAGACAAAGAGACCAAAATTTTTGCGTTGAAGTAGCCCAAGAAAGGCTAACGTATTAAAAAAAAAAAAAAACACCAGGCCTGCGCGGAAGACACAGCACAGTCACAGCGAAAGCTAGAACGGTCTTTCAGAGCCTTTTCAAAACACTCATTGGGCTACTACTGCAAGCGCACTTGCTTGATACCCACTAGGGCATTAATAATAAAAATTTTTGGCTATAGTAGGCCGGCATTCGCGTTGCTGTTTTTCGTCATTTTTCTGAGAAGCGTGGTATCCGCTAAACTCTTGCAAGGAATTTTTCGCCAATTGTTCACGGAGTGGCTGACGACAATGAGGAATTATGGCTGAAGCTAGTGGGTATGCGCCAAAGTTAATAGGGGAACAAGAACAAGTTTTTGTAATGGGTTGGAGCACTGGACGGCCCACTCGTTATACGCTATTCGCATTGTGTGACGACTGGTTATTATTTCGCTGTTTTAAAACGCTTTACTAGTCGTATTAACGTGATTGCTTTTCCGACATCAAGCCTGCCTAAAACAAGCTTGCCAACAAGTCACAAGCCCCGGCGTGGCTCAGTGGTAGAATATTGGGCTGGCTCCCAGCAGACTCGGTTTAGAGCCCCACTGCGCCATTGGTGCAAGGTTTTTTTTTTAAAGATGATGTTAAAGACGACAGTCTTCCTTGGGGACCTTCGACGAAAAAATTTTGGTCTGTCTGTACATTTGTCTGTTTGTCCACGCTTAACGGTACCGGGTACTCCGAACGGATCAGCCGATACCCCAAACGGCCGACCCCATCCGCAGCGACCACCAATGTTGCTCAAGATGTAGCGTTCATACTTGTGCGATTGTCAAATAAAAAGCAACTATTGCGCATATTTGAGGCACCATAACAACACGTGTATATACTGTATGTGCGTATTTTACTAGAAAAGACATACATAGGTAATTCTAAGGACCATAGCGCTTAACACGCTGCGCTGATAATGCAACGCTTGCACGAAAAGGCGAGTATTTCCAACGCTTTGCTAAGACAACACGGTGGTGGCACCTATCCGTCGTCTTGCTTTCTACCCCTTATCACCTCTGAGACGGGCGCGCACACTCGTCGCAGAGCCACGCGCTTCGTTTTCCAAAAAAACTGACGGATGGCGCTCATGTCTCACGTGGGACGTGACTTGATGCGCTCGTTCGCCTCCGCTGCACGCTCGAGGCACTTGAACGCAGCGCCTCCAGAATACCATTCACTGATTCCTTACGCAGAACATGAAATAAATGTTTCGTTTCCTCTCTCCACACGCAAGATTATCGTCTTTTGACCACATTTGCAAATTAACATGCAGATACGGGGCCAATTTTTTGATATAATTTCGTGCGATGTGGTTACGGACACCGATGGCGGCGGACAACTGCGCGTGACCGGAGCTGTGATCTCATAACAGCTTTCGCCGTAAAAAGAAAACACGAACGTAATTACAGAAAAGCCAGCTTCCCCGCGACAATAAGTCATACTGAGGAAAACCCATCTTTCATGAAACGGCAGTCCTTCAATGCTAGGTGAAACCCTAGCAATCTACGCAGGTGCAAGCATGGATAACCTTCTGGCTTTACAAGCTCCGTATATCTAGGCTAGCGCATTTAAAAGACCACAGTCTCTTCCTCACAATAGGTTTGTTCCGTAAACGTGACATCAAAGGCTAGGGTTTTATGAAGATTTAGTTCACTCACTCACTCACTTACTCTCACTCACTCACACTCACTCACTCGCTGATGCACTTACCTACGGCTGACGATTATCACGAGTGCCACGTTGACCACAAGTAGAAAGATGGCAACGCAGAAGACAACCATGATCCATAGAATCATGGATTGTAGATACCTGAATTTGTCGTTCTGCACCGACGCACCCACTGCACGAAGAGTGATCGACACGTCGGGTCAGTGTTTCTCTCATGTCGCGCTTCTGGAATACAGTTGAACCGCGTTATAATGAACACTGATGTAGCGAATTATCGGTTATAGCGAACTATATAAAGCTTTGGTTAACCGCATTTTGTTTCTATGATTTCTGTCTTTTTTTTACAATGAAAACAAAAGCGCGAGCGCTTGCCGCGTTGTCGGCTTTGACTAAGGGAAATTTGGTTTAGGCGAAGCTCAGAAATCCCAGGGTAGCGTAAAAAAAGCAAAATAATTTTTGATGCACAATTCAACTTTTTTTTTCGAAATCTTGTCGCGACATTAAAAACTTGCTCTTTAAAATGCGATTACATCCTTCTTCAAATAAATGTAAACGCGGGCCTGTTTTGTCGCACGAACCTCATTGTGTTGTAATTTGAACTTCTCATGTCGCATTTTGTTTAGCTTGAAATGCCACGAGGAAACAGGTAAGCACTACTTTGTTTATAGTCGGCATCAAGCCTAGAATAACTCGTTTTAAGGGCGTGGCACTTTAAGGGCCCTGCTTGTCGTTCATCCATAGATCTCATGCGGCGTGATCACGCTAAATATTAAGTGGTTAATACAAGCGCAAAAGAAAGCTAGCAGTGCTCGAAACCGGGAGAAAATAAACGAACGAGGTCTGAAACAGTATAATTAACAATAACAACCGAAGAACAATCGCAATACTTGAACAAAATAACTCAGGAACATTCAGAAACATATGGCTGACTCCCGTACCGCACAAGAGAGGGCGCCAACACCTTCGCAAAGCACGTGATTGGTCTTTCCACCGGTGCTACATTTTATTATTTATTTATTAAGTAGCTGCTTCGCCATAAGGCATTACAGTAGGGAGGGTACAGTACATATAATGAAACACATAAAACATTCATAATGCATGGAAAAAAATCATCACTTGAATCAATACAGACCATTTCCGGTGGCAGAGTGTTCCATTCTCTTATAGTGCGGACAAAGAAAGAGTAGCGAAAAGCTTCACCCCCGAAAGGAATCTCGCGTATTTTTAAGTGATGATCACGTCTTTGAGAAACATAGTTGGGTGGTTAAAAATACAATAGCCCGATGATCCCTGTTCCCGAATGATAAATGCTATGAAATAATTTTAATCTAAGGTTTCGACGACGGCTTTTCAAGAAGATCCCATTTTGAAAGTTTTTCCTGCTCTCTGTCACACTAAGCATCCTGTCGTAATTTTCAAGGAGAAATCGAATTGCTCTATTCTGCACTTTTTAAAGTTTATCTGTAAGTTCCTTAGCATATGGGTCCCAGCAGACGCACGCATACTCCAGTATACTGCGTACGTGTGTAAAATAGAGCTGCTTTCTAAGGTTTTGTGGTAAACTACTGAAGTTACGTTTCAGAAAACTTAACTGTTCCTACCGCTTTGTTCCTAACGTAAGTGACATGTTTATTCCACCTCAAACCAGCAGTAAAAAATACGCCCAGACATTTATATTCCACGACATGTTGAAGATTTTTATTTAATATTTATTTATTTAATAATACTGTTAACCCTCGCTTGAGGGTCATAACAGGGAGGGAGTACAATATGAGTAAAAACAGTACACCTAAAAAAACCACTAAGCAATAAACACAGGAAAACAGAATGGGCAGTACTTCAACCATTACCAAAATAAGCATCAATTTCTCTGTCAAAAATTTGCACATCGGTACTATTAATAACATGTTGGGGTAAAGAATTCCATTATTCTATAGCATCCGGGAAAAATGACCACCGAAAGATGTCAGTGCGAGCGCTGAAAGGTTTAATGGGGGCATCATGATTCAATCTAGTGCTATGTTTTCCGGGAAGGCGTATGCACTCGTCTTTAGGTATTCTGAATATCCTTTGGATAATACGAAATAATGTTTTAAGTTTTTGTATCCGTCTTCGAATTTCCAGTGATTCTAAATTGCATGAATTTAGCATATCAGTTACTGAATCCCTCCTTCTATATCTAGAGCACACAAACCGAACTGCACGCCTCTAAATACGTTCTAACTTGGTGACCAAGTGTTTCTGGTGAGGGCTCCAAACTAGAGAGGCGTATTCCAGTCTAGGTCTAATATATGTGTGGTATGCAAGCAGCTTTACGTGTTTTGGTGTTTTATGCATCTTTGCTCGTAGAAAACACAGTTTTTTAAATGACTCAGAACAAACCGATTCAATGTGACGATGCCAAGTTAGGTTGTTCGTAATTGTCACCCCTAAGTATTTAAAATGGGACGTTTTACTGAGTTTGTTGCTCCCGATGTTGTACTGGAAATTGAGAACATTTTTCTTGTTGGTAATGTGTACATATGTTGTTTTTTTAAAGTTAATTTGCATATACCATTCGCAACACCACAATTCCAAATCTTCAAGGCACTTATTCAACTCGAGTTGATCATCAGTACAGCTTACAGGCATATAAATCAAACAATCATCAGCATAAAGTTTCATCTTAACAGGTGGCTTTACAATAGTACTTATATCATTTATGTACAACAAAAACAACAGCGGGCCAAGCACGGACCCTTGAGGCACACCTGAAAACACATCTAGCGTTATTGATCGTGTAATGATTTCTGCAGTGCGAGAAGTTCCTGTTAAAGGTTATGTGGACGCTGCTTTCGCATTCAACGACATTTTCAATTTATCACACCATGTGGCAATTATATCTAAATCGTTTTGCAGTACTTGTTTGTGAAGGTCGCTATTGATGGCCCTATATGCTATACAGGGAGAAACAACTTGACGGAACACGCTGCAGACGACACACGTCTCAGCTGTCGTGACGAGCAGGAAAGCGATAAAGCACGCCAAAGAGTAGCACGCATGTCGCACATCAACTTTGCGAGCCTTCCTGGCAAGACTCTACTAGTGCCGGGGAAACACTACACGCTCACATCAAACATTGACGTCACCAATGGTTTGGTAAACGCTGCAGTGGAATCTTTATACGATCGGGAATCGCTGGGCGCCCGTGCTGCGCACTTCCTGAGGTTTCACCCCAAAGGTTAACGAATGGTTTAACGAAGAGAGCTGTAACGCGGTAAAGTGCAACGGAATTCACACATTCATGATCTTCAGCCCGAACCAGGTAAGTATCCAGAGGTGGGCGTTGGAGAGTTCAGCAACCCTTTCCTCCCTATCCCATGAAAAATGTTCTGGCTAAGCTTCCGACCTAAAACAACGACGTTGAAAGCACTGTCGAAATTCATGACGTCAAGGCGACTCGGAGCCGGATTATCAAGTATAGCCATCCCCACCTGCGTTCTATTTACCAAGGTTTCTCAAACGGCGACAGTGGCTTTCTGTCGTTTATTCGGTTAAGTTACTGTTTTTTTCAATGTAGCTCGGACAAGCTTATAGGATAGAAGCGTACCGGGGCAGTCTGCGTGCGTTTCCCTTACCCAACGAGACCTTGGAAAAGTGGACGGCGAGGGCAGGGCCGTGTCCCACGCTCGTGGTTGCCCTCACAGTGGCGGTGTAGCTGCGTCCGTTTAAGAGCTGCGGCAGCAGCAGGTCCCTCACGTCAGCTCCCACAACCGTGGCTAGGAGAACTGAACCCTCATCCTCTGTGCCGTTGTCGGCCTGCACCATTACTGTAATCTAGAGACAAAAAATCCAAAACAGAGGTTCAGTGTATACCAGAGTTTACGCAAGGGAAAAAAAAAAACTGTTCGCGCAGCCCATTTTTAAGTTCGGAAGCTAGAGAGACGCAGAGAACGAATAAGAAGCGTGAAGAAAGCGGATGACACGAGCTTACAGCTCGTAATATCTTCGTGCATGGTTCTGCTTCTAGGCAAACACATGAAATATCTTTCATAACAGACAAGAGAAACCATCAGTACATAAGAGAGAGAAGTGATTAAAGTAGTGTGTCCTACCGAAGCGTATTCGTTATCTTAAAAAAAATTGGCCATGAAGTTGAAGGCAACAGTCACCAGATTCAATTGATTTGTGGGGTTTAACGTCCCAAAACCACCATTTGATTATGAGAAACGCCGTAGTGGAGGGCTCCGGAAATTTTGACCACCTGGGGTTCTTTGACGTGCACCCAAATCTGAGTACACGGACCTACAACATTTCCGCCTCCATCGGAAATGCAGCCGCCGCAGTCGGGAATCGAACCCGCGACCAGCGGGTCAGCAGCCGAGTACCTTAGCCACTAGACCACCGTGGCGGGGCGTGTCATGGTGGTCGGAGGACACATACATCGCGAGCATGTCCGTTAGGGTCCGATATAGCCGTTCGGTAAGGCCATTTGTTTGGGGACGGTAGGAAGTGGTCAGCTTGTGGTGCGTCGAGGAAGACAAATCTTTTTATTCAAGTGAACATGTGCCCGGAAAATGAGATGTCGCGGTACAATCAATACATGCTGCATGCTTATGGCGGCGTATATATGGCGTCGGCCGTCGGTTAACCTGATCGGTGGTGAGCTGCGTCGGCATTACCACAAGCGGCACGGACCATTCTAGTCTTAAAGCTAGTGCTCGCGCAAACTCTCGAATGAACTCGCGCATTCTGTGCATGAGCTTAATTGATTGGTCTTGAACAAAATCGCGAAGCTTCACAAGCATTGCGGCGTGGTCTTTGTCGAGCATTTCAAGCTGTCTTTGTGGGTGTAATCTGTGTTATAATCGCTCATATCGATAGCAGCGGCTAGACAATCGCGACCGTTGATTATATAAACCCAGACATGTGGCCGCTCAGCCGTTGTCCACGGTGCGCTGGCATGAAATAAACCACGTTCAGTACTGCTCCGGTAGTCTTCTTTCGGCGGCGGTCTCCAACCCCGACGAAACACGACATTGGCGATGAGGGTGGGACCTTGACCGATTCTGCGGCAAGCTGACATGGAAATGAACGGTCCGGCGGCGGCGGGGGTAGTGACGCAGGTCGTGGGTCGACTGGGACACATCAAGCCGTTCGACGAGTCTACCAGCGACTGGCCGTCGTACGAGGAACGCTTGTCAGCATTTCTTCAGGTCAACCGTATCTCCGAGGACGACAAGGTACACGTTCTTTTGATCCTCATAGGCCCAAAGACTTACAGTCTACTAAAGTCATTGACCGTGCCGGAATTGCCGTCAGCTAAAGGTTTCGAGTTGTCAAAGAAACTTCTTAGTGACCATTTGTCATCAAAGCCATCGGTTGTTAGCGAGCGTGCAAAATTTCACAGAATATCGCAACTTGAGACTGAATCAATTTCGGAATATGTTGCGCAGTTGCGGAAATCGGCACAGACATGCGAATTTGAATCCATCTTCGATCAGTCACTGCGGCATCGATTTGTCTGTGGTCTGTGCCGAAACTATATACGGCGCGTGTTATTTACGGAGGATAACAAGCTAACATTCTAGAAAGCCGTAGAACGAACGCTAGCCATGGAAGCAGCTAAAAAGAGCCTGGCCGAAGCTCACGCTTCAGAATCAAGCGTACCAGGCGTTCACAAAGTTGAAGCGGTTGGGAAAACTGATATGACGCTGAGAAAATGCTAAAGCTGTGGGTCTGCAAAGCATGCAAGCAGACTATGTCCGCACATCGCTGCCATCTGTTTCAAATGTAATAAGAAAGGACACATTCAAAAAGCGTGCCAAGCTAATAAGCAGAAAACGATGAAGGGAGCACGCCGAAACGCGATGAAAATATTGCATCCCGTTCAAGCTTCTGTTAGCATGAAGGAATTTTTTTTCCTGGTCTAAAGCCGATAAAAATTTCGATTAAGTACAAGACCTACCTCTGGTAATGGAGTTGGATACTGGGGCTACTGTGACTGTTATGTGATTGAATCAGTTTCGTCAAACGTTTCTCTCAACCAAGGTCATGCCGACGACGCTGAAGCTGCAGTCGTTCGAGGGAGCCATCATCGAAACTTTCGGAGTTGCCCACGTGGCCGTTCAGTAAGGACAGCAGAAGGCCCGGCTGCCTCTATACATCACAAGAGAAAAGGGACCGCATTTGCTAGGTCGGAAATGGTTGCACGGCATCCAACTCGACTGGAGTCGTATTTTCAAGCTCAACGCTATTCCTAGGTTGGAAAATTCTACATGTACCAGACTATGCGCTCTCCTAGACAAATACAAGAGTTTGCTTAAAGACGAACTGGGGACAATTACAGAAGAAAGAACATGTGGCCGTGCAGCCATTGTCCACGGCGCGCTGGCATGGAATAAACCACGTTCAGTACGGCTCCCGTAGTCTTCTTTTGGCGGCGGTTGCCAACCCCGACGAAACGCGATAATCTGGATACATAAAAATAAACCACTGAACACATGTTAAGCAGCATTTAGCCATTTCGCAATAGGAAAGCTGAGCACGCACAATGCTGAGCACGCACCTCGTAACCGGTGAGGACACCATTGGGTTCTTGGGGTGGTTGCCACGCCAGCCGAGCAGTGGTCTCGTTAACCACAGCGACCTCAAACCACTCGGGCTCACCGGGTACTGCGAAGGGCATTCATAACACTGTATAGTTGATTGACTTTTGAACGCTGTATACCTGAGAACGAATACTTAGAAAACAGCGGTTGCACAATAAGCTTAGTTTCATATCTTTGAAATGCTTCGCTTTATTACGGCTACCACATGGCGCAAACAAGGTTTCAAAAGGGTCTCGGATGACCGAATGGCGCCTTCATCTTCAAGAAGGAATAACATTATTAAAAAAAAATGTCCAGCGAGTTATTCGGGAATTAGGACAAGTATCCCCGCCTAGGTGTCAGCCACGAGCCCTTGAACTCTGCATGACGGCTGCCTCGGCCCGCTGGACGGCCCGCAGTAGGTCCTCGAGGGTGAAGCTGAGCAGTCTCCCAGCGCGCTTGGTTCGAGTATGTGCGCTTGGTTCGATCCCCACTACCTCTGTTACATTCTTAAACATTTGTTCAGAGTTACCCTGATCTCGCAAAACTGGCAGTTTGATGAATTGGTAACAAAGATTTAAGATCACTGGGCTCAGAAACGCGTATCATAGCCAGATTTTTTTTTTTCGAGATGGGTTCAGCCATACTTTAATGTAGGTTCATGCATGCATTTGTAGGTGTGCCTGTGTGCATACGCGTGCAAAATTGAAACATTTTAAGTAGAGGAGCGGAATGATCCACTGCTTTCCTTGTCTACGCCAGTGGTTACTACAATATTTCTTGAATCATACCAGTTCAGAAACGGCGTTCTGCAACCCGGGCATGCCTATGGCCGATGCTATAGAATCACGCAGATTCTGGCGTCATCTTGGTGCAGCAATACGAAACACTAGAGCACCACGGCAGCATCCCCAGCTTGCATTTCTCGCAGGCTGCTAAATGCCGCATGCAGCACTAGCATGGTCGTGAGTGTTTATTAGTTTATTTTTTTTTTGTTCAGCACATGACGCGACAATCAGCACACCCCCACGACTTCAGCCGACAGCATGTCCAGATATTGATACATGGGGTCTATAGGGAGTCAAATGATATGATTGTAGAACCCTGGCTGCTACGCAAGGGCATGCTCCTCCTCCACGTCGAAAGTTAACCCCCTAAAGAATGCCTCTGAGTAACCATGTCACCCCTGACATTACATACTAAAGAAAATTAAGAAAAGAAAAAGTAAGGAGCAGGGTGCACCTACAGCGGCTGATTAGGTGCCTTGCTCCCCTTGTGGCCTCGTATTTCATCACTTCAACATTCGGCAGACATAAAGAAGAGATGACCTGATAAAGCATTGTGCGCCGAAAATTAGGAATAATCAAAACATATGGGATTCTACGCTGGACATAGCGTGCATAGATTTCATGGAAGAATGCGCTTACCATCTTCTGTTGTGCTGACCATCACACGAGAACTGAGAGGACCTTCTCCGGCACTGTTGACGGCCCTTACGCGCATAGTGTGCTTTTCGAAAGGTAGCAGGCCCTGGAGCGTCAAGTTCGTGTCTGCGTAAAATACAAAATGAAACTTGCTGAATTACGGATCTGAAGGACAAGGGACAGAGGGAGAGCTTTTGGACCCTTAATTTCGCGCGGCCGTCGAACCAATCTAGTAAATATGGCCGCACTGCACCGTACCATATTACCAATCTATCCGTCATTGCGTCCGTACATGCACTCACTCACTCACTCACTCACTCACTCACTCACTCACTCACTCACTCACTCACTCACTCACTCACTCACTCACTCACTCACTGAATCACGGATCTGAAGGGCAAGGAACGGAGAGGAAGCTCTTGGCCACTTCATTTCACATGGCCGTCGAACCAATCTAATAAATATGGCCGCACTGCACCGTACCATATTACCAATCCATCCAATCTTTCCAACCAATCTATCCATCATTGCGTCCGTACATGCACTCACTCATCTATCTATCTATCTATCTATCTATCTATCTATCTATCTATCTATCTATCTATCTATCTATCTATCTATCTATCTATCTATCTATCTATCTATCTATCTATCTATCTATCTATCTATCTATCTATCTATCTATCTATCTATCTATCTATCTATCTATCTATCTATCTATCTATCTATCTATCTATCTATCTATCTATCTATCTATCTATCTATCTATCTATCTATCTATCTATCTATCTATCTATCTATCTATCTATCTATCTATCTATCTATCTATCTATCTATCTATCTATCTATCTATCTATCTATCTATCTATCTATCTATCTATCTATCTATCTATCTATCTATCTATCTATCTATCTATCTATCTATCGAGTCACTATTTTACTCCAAGTATACGCTCCAATAGAGATTACACTGTTCACCTGTGGTATTCGCCCAATGTTCATCCTCTGCTCTTGAGTCAGCATAGTAAAGGACGCGGTAAAAGAGGAGAGGGCCATGCGAGTCACTGCAGGAAGGCTCCTCCCAGCTCAGGTGCAGACTCCTCGACGATGCCCACACCACGTGTACATTGCCAGGAGGCTTGCTAGGTGCTGTGGAGAAAGTCCCCGATTGAGACATGTTGAGCATGCAGCAGCGCGAAAAAAATAAATAAAAGAAGCGCTTCAGTTATTTGTTGGAACCTTCAAGCCAGGAAAGTCGCGGTGACCAAATCCCCTCTAAACAGTTTCGGTACTTCGGTATGAGGTTTATGAAGTGTTATCAATTCGTGTGCTGTGCTCGACGTACCGTTTGAAACGCATCTTGAAAGTGTTCGGCAGGTGTCCAATGTACCACGTATCTGGGTCCTATACTAAAATATCTGGGTAACAGGGTAGCCAGCCGGTCGGAGAACTGGCTAACCTCCCTGTCCTTCCTCTTTCAATCCTCCTCCTAATGTATAAAACTTTCGTAAGAGAATATGTCAGCCAATAACGATTCCGACATATGATCATAAGCGTGCGCACGGGGGGTGGAAATGAGAGCTCCGCCCCCCTCCCTAGTCTCGTAAGCAGAGGTCAAGGGTTGCAAAGGCTGCCCAATACATCGACTTAACAGGGGAGGGGGCGCTGAGATGAACATTCAACCCCCTTTAGGTTGCGCACGCTTATTATGATAATTATTGAAGCCATTTGACGAATGGGAAAACGCACTTGCGATATAGAAGTTTTGTCAATTCAGCCCCTGGCGTTTTATATTGACATGTTATTCTTCTGTTACACGATGGTCACCCTGTCACTTAATCACCGTTATGTATTCATTATGAAATAGACGATAAAGACAGCGCCTTATAGTTTGAGATCGCTTTGATTGCACTCACGGGCAGCAGCCGTGAGGAAGCCGATCTCCCTCCTTTTGCCGTATCCATGACCTCTGCTGGCGCTCACACGTGCCTCGTACCACGAGTGCGGTACGAGCCCTTCGACCTGAAACTGCACGAACAGAATGCGTATATAAGGACTCTGTACCTGTTAACGCAACACGTTACTACTGCAGGTCACTTAAAGATGCACGAACCTTCCAACCTTCGAGGTCGGTGAAAAGAGCACATCCTGCGGATAAACAGGCATTTCTATATGAACATCTCCCGTCAAATATTGGCAGCCGTGAAGTGCGAAGCTGCTATTTCATCTGGCCCTATTTTTTTCGCCCAAAGGCGTCTGCTCACTCAATTCGGAGCTGCCGGCGCCTGCTGTTCGACGTCGAACAACAGACAACACGTTATTGGCTCATAGCCGACATCAGCCAAGAGTGGCGTTAGGACCAGACACGCTTCTTGCCACGGGGTGCCGCCACATGCCACGCCGCTCTCGATAGCGATACTGAGCCACACTCGCGCGCAGGAATCACAAGAGACAACGATCACGTTTCGTCACGTCCAGTGACGTCACTTCCTTTCCCGCGCCATTCCTTTCTGCCAGCGCGCTCTCCGTGACCAGATGAAGAGAGAAGGCGCTCAAAGCGTGCGTTGAATCCCTGTAACTCTGCTTGCTACTGAAGGATCCAATAAATTTTTCAGTAATCGATCCGGGAGGCCATAAACTCCGATACTGAGATCACTCGATGATTACTTGGAGAGGTGGTTCAAAACGCCTTTAAAGAGCTGTCGAAAGTGCGCCTACATTCACTTATAGGGCAGTATGTTACGTGTGTTGCAAAGAATGTATGGCGAGAAAAGGGTCATTTATTTTTATCTGCATAGCTTGCTTTCAATAGAACCGAAAGAATAGAAGGAGCTGATAACTTCTGTCTTCATTTTAGTTGATCCTTAGCAGCAAAGCCAGGAGTCGGCTTTATCTTTATGAGAAGTGCACATGAGGGAAATGTTGGAGGATTTATATATACAGCTTTGAATAATTTCTATCATGCGTCTAATTTGCACTCCAGCGTAATATATATATATATATATATATATATATATATATATATATATATATATATATATATATATATATATATATATATATATATATATATATATATATATATATATATATATATATATATATATATATATATATAATCCACGTATGGTTTTGAACATATTGATCCTTCATTTAATCTAAGAGATGAGCAAGAGTAGTTCGCGTAAGATAGACATGTAGGCCACAAAAGTAGTAGTCTGAGTTAAGAAGAGATAAACGCGGTAATGTATCCATGTACGAAACTCAGTTATATTTTACTGTTTTTTGTGCGCTACTTCCATTGAATTACAAATATTCAGGAGTAGTTAAAGTAACGAAGTCAAATTTTATGCTGTGGGGCAGACTTGAATAAGGCAAGGGCGAAATAGGTTGAGTCGTATGTGGCACGCGGTCAGAAATCAATCAATCAATCAATCAATCAATCAATCAATCAATCAATCAATCAATCAATCAATCACCTGCGTAGATTGAGTGAGGGACACTTGTTCGGAACCCTTGCCACCACATCCTCCCAGGTCCCTAGCAAGGAGAGCCACGCGGTACTCCAGCTGCTGCGGGTGGCGCTCTCCCGAAGGAGCATCCCACGTGATCAAGGCCTCGGTGGCATTCGTCCGGACCACGCTCAGGTGCTCCACGGGGCCCGGAACTAAGTTTGAGACAGCATGAAAACGGTACGTTCGAGCACCGCAATTTCACGTTGTGCGAAACACGCTGGAACAATTATACCATGCCAGTTTCCCGTACAACCATGCAGCAGCCTGTGAATGTTTAAGAATCGGGCAAGTTGAGATTGGTTTTCAACGACGACGTGCAATGGCTTTAGGCCTACTTGATGTCTCTGGCAATTCGCGCAAAGTAATTTGCGCCACTTCAAGTTTTGCATTCAAGGCTAACATTGCATGCGTAGATGATATATAGAGGGGTTCACCTGAATTGCGTTCGAGATATCGTGAATTCTAAAGTGCAGAAGAAATATACCAAAAAAGTCAAAAACCTCAGGAATCCGCAGATGCATCCGTACCTGACGGTGCCGTTTTTGCAGTAGCCGATCCACTGTACATGCTGCGTCCCACGGAGGTGACAGCGTAAACGGCCACGTCATAGCTGCTGTCGGCGTCAAGGTCGTCCACCACGGTGCTCAACGTGTCGGCGTCCAAGCTATGCACTTTCGACGTTGAGCTGCGTGCATTGAGGTGCACCTCGAAGCCCACCAGTTTGCAGCCCAGTAGCTTGGGGTCCGGTCTCTGAGGATATAGATAGTACTAGTGAATCTATCAAATCACGATAGACAGGTGACAATGATGCACTATTCTCCTAGGAAAGGCATTGGTTCGAATCTCCCCACAGGGAAATTTTGCAGCGTTAGCTACACTAGCCTCGCTGAGCCGATTTCGCGTGGCACTGGTCTGCGCATGCGCAATGATACTCCGCCGCCACCGCGCGCGGCTCGCCACCGGTGTGCGCGCAATGCGATGCGCTGCGCAGACGATCAGTTGTGTCATGCACCGGAGCCGGCACCTCCCTCGCACTCGGCCGCGGCCGCGCGTGACTCGCCGCCGCTGGTGTGCGCTTTCCAGAGGAGGGCCGTCATAGCCTTGGTAGACATATGGACGCCGACGCGCGCGCCTTCCCTGTGCAGTCGCCATCTGACACTGCGCTGGAGCCGCTTGATAGCGCCTCTGACTAGCGTTTGCCACTGTGGTATAGCCATGGAGAAGGAAGAATAATCAGCTGAACCTTTGCTAACGCTACGTATATCCTGGCATAGCTGAGCTAAGCCACTGCCATTTTTTTCTTCAGCTGAGGAACTTTCTTTGTGAGAAATTCACATAGAGTTTCATCGAGTTTAACGGCATACAAACTGATGAATGTAAAATTTTCCTGTTTGCTAATTTTCTCTTTATGTTTTGTACTCCCACAGACTGTGCCTGTATTCGCAAAAACGTTTTATAGCTAAAAATTTTCGTGAAATAATATTTCTGCCAGTCCCGATGTAGAAGATATTGTTACGTAAAAATGACACGAGGCGTGTCTATTTAAAATCTATATTCAAACTGATGCGTATGGCGTCGACTAAAATGGAAGACAGCATGCACAACCGACAGACCACTTCCTCGTTGTCGTCTTCTGACCGCTGATACGTCAGCTACGTAGCATTACCCCCCCCCCCCCCCGGCGGTAAAAGCACCGTCTCGGTGCACATTAACTACGGTCGTCAGTAGGCAGGTGGTAAGGTTTTAGCCTGCTGACGTGCACAACATCACTGAGTGTGGTTGCAGGCGGGCTTGTGGTCTCAGATGCAGGAATGATCTCATAGGTGACGTCGGTTACCTGGCGGATGATACGGTAATGACCCATGCAGCGAGACAACAACTTTTCTGATAAGCCAACTCGACGAACTGGGCACCACAGGAGAACAAGAGAACCGGGTGAGAAGTGAACGTCAGCATGCCGGCTGTCGTAGATGGCTTTCTGGGTGGCTTGCGAAGCTGAAAGTCTAGAGCGGGCGATCTGACGTGCGTGGTCGGCACGAGCAATAGCGTCGCGTGCATATTCGGTTGACGGCGTTGTAGTGGTTGGAAGTAGGGTGTCGAGTGGTAACTTCGGATCACGGCCATAAAGCAAATAAAAGGGTGAATAACCAGTAGTGTCGTGGCGCGAAGAATTGTACGCGAAGGTCACGTGAGGTAGCGCCAGGTCCCAGTCATGGTGGTCGGAGGACACATACATCGCGAGCATGTCCGTTAGGGTCCGATTTAGCCGTTCGGTAAGGCCATTTGTTTGGGGATGGTAGGAAGTGGTCAGCCTGTGGTGAGTCGAGGAAGAGTGCAGAAGATCGTCGATCACACGAGACAAAAATGCGCGGCCACGATCCGTGAATAATTGGCGAGGAGCGCCATGGTGTAGGATGACGTCGTGGAGCAAAAAGTCCGCAACATCAGTAGCGGTGCTGGTGGGGAGCGCTCGAGTGATGGCATACCTAGTCGCGTAATCTATAGCAACGGCGACCAACTTGTTGCCCGATTTCGACTCGGGAAAAGGACCGAGAAAATCTATACCAGCACAGAAAAAAGGTTCGGTTGGGATGGAGATCGGTTGAAGAAGTCCAGCCGGGGGCGCAGTAGGTCGCTTCCTACGTTGGCATTTATCGCAGGAGGACACGTAACGGCGAACGGACCGGGCGAGACCGCGCCAAAAGAAGCGGCGACGCACGCGGTCGTACGTCCGAGATACACCCAGATGACCAGCAGTTGGTTCATCGTGAAGCTCGTGCAGCACGGTTGAACGCAAATTTTTCGGCACGACAAGAAGGAGCTCAGGGCCATCTGGTTGGAGGCTACGACGGTACAGCGTGCAATTCAGGAGGACGTACATGCGAAGTGGCGTGTCGTTCGGAGCAGATTTGAGACGGTATAAGTTGTCGCAGAGAAGCATCACGACGTTGTTCATCATCAATCTGAAGAAACTGGGACATTGACATGACGCTGAGGCTAGGCTCCATGTCTGGTTCGTCGGGCTGATCAACAGGGTAGCGGGATAAGCAATCGGCGTCCAGATGGAGATGTCCAGACTTATAAGCAACCGTGTAGGAATACTCCTGTAGGCGTAATGCCCAACGACCAAGTCGTCCAGTGGGGTCCTTCTGAGAAGAAAGCCAACACAGCGCGTGATGATCTGTGATGACACGGAAAGGGCGGCCATACAAGTAAGGACAGAATTTCGAAGCCGCCCAAACAAGAGCGAGACATTCCCGTTCTGTTATAGAATAATTGCGTTCAGACTTAGAAAGCAGACGGCTTCCGTACGCGATTACATGGTCGTTGCCCCGCTGAATTCGTGCCAAAACTGCACCAATTCTGTGACCACTCGCGTCTGTTCGCACTTCTGTGGGAGCATCGGGGTCGAAATGTGCAAGAATAGGAGGTGTCGTTAGAGTGGTGATTAGCTGAGAGATGGCGTCAGCTTGAGGAGGGCCCCAAGAAAATGGGACGTCTTGTTTGAGAAGGTCGGTGAGTGGCCGTGCGAGTGCCGCAAAGTTTTTCACGAACCGGCGAAAGTAGGAGCAGAGGCCCACAAAACTGCGAACATCATGGACAGAGCGTGGGACTGGGAAGTTTGTTACAGCGCGCACTTTCGCCGGGTCTGGTCATACGCCGGCAGCGTCAACAAGGTGACCCACTACGGTAATCAGACGAAGACCGAAGTGGCACTTGGAGGAATTGAGCTGCAGGCTGGCCCGTCGAAATATGGATATAATTGTCGAAAGGCGTTCAAGGTGGGTTGCAAAGGTAGGTGAGAAAATGATCACGTCGTCCAGGTAACACAAACATGTCGACCATTTAAATCCTCATAGGAGCGTGTCCATCATTCTCTCGAAGGTCGCTGGAGCGTTGCAGATCCCGAATGGCATGAACTTGAATTGTTAAAGACCGTCAGGGGTAACGAAGGCGGTCTTTCCTCGGTCCATGTCATCTACAGCAATTTGCCAGTAGCCAGATCGGAGGTCGAGAGATGAAAAGAAGGTGGCGCCATAGAGGAAATCAAGGGCATCGTCAATGCGTGGTAGAGGGCACACGCCTTTTTTGGTAATTTTGTTGAGGTTGCGATAATCAACGCAGAAACGCCATGAGCCGTCTTTTTTTTAACTAATACCAAGGGAGATGCCCAAGGGCTCGTTGATGGTTCGATTACATTTTTCGTAAGCATTTTGGCCACTTCTTTCTGAATCACTTCTCGCTCGGACGCTGACACGCGGTACGGCCGATGGTGGATGGGCGCAGAGCCACCAGTGTTGATTCGGTGAGTGACAATTTTAGTCTGGCCCAAGGGACGATCGTCGGTGTAGAAAATGTCACTGTATGAGGCCAAAACTTGGCAGAGAGCGTCGGCCTGGTGAGGCGACAGCTCCGATCTAATCATGTTTCGAAAAATACCATCGTCTGAGCTGGGTGACCGTGACACTGCGCTTCGATCAAGAGCAGATACAGCGACAACACTGACATCGTCCTCTGTTATGGCAGTTAGCTGGGCTAGAGACATCTGGCAGGGCAACACTTGAGGGGTGAAACCAAAGTTAAGGAGCGGAAGTAACACACATTTATCCGCTATGGTCGCGATGGTATAGGGCGCAGTAACACTGCGCGTCAGCCAAACGTCAGTAATTGGGGTAACAATATAATGACCGTCAGGAACGGGAGGGGTCGATGACAAAGACACGTACGTGACGGCTCGAGGTGGCAGGCGAACGAAAGTGGTTGGGCTCAAGCGGCTGGTGGGCTTTGCAGAGTAGTCGGCAAAGACTGGTAGATCAAGGCTGAGGGTACCAGACGAACAATCAATTAAGGCCGAGTGTGCCGAAAGGAAATCGAGGCCAAGTATGAGGTCATGAGGACAGCAGGCTAGCACGGCAAAAAAGACCACGGCGTGACGACCGGCAATGCTGACACGAGCAGTGCACATTCCGATTACTGGTACAGTACCTCCATCGGCAACACGTATTGCCGGCGTCGTAGATGGCGTCATAATCGTTTGAAAGCGGCCGCGTAGAGGAGCGCTCATAATAGACAAGTGCGCACCTGTGTCAATGAGGGTGGTCACAGGAACATGGTCGACTTGTACTTCAAGCAGGCTATGGTGCGTGGGAAGCGTCAGTAGAGGATTTTCGGCTGTCATTGGTATTGCAGCTTCACCTCTATAAGCTGCAATATCTAGTTTTCCTGCTGCGGTCGTCCAGAGAAGATCGGCGAGGAAAAGCGCCGAGGTGGCGGAGAGCGGGATTTGCGACGTAGCGGTGACGGGGAGCGAGAGCTGCGGCGACCGGACGAAGGGGCGTCAGGGTAGCAGCGACCGGGCAAAGGGGCGTCAGTGGAAGGCTCGTAAGATGACGACGAATAGAAATTGAAGGGTGCGGCGACTAAACGTCGAGGGGTCGTCGGATGCGTGAGCGCCGAGGTAGAGAAAGTCTGACGTGGTTGGTTTGACCAACGGCGGCGGCAATAGCGAGAAACGTGCCCAGATTGGTGGCAGGAAAAACAAATAGGCCGGTCGTCGGGTGTTCACCATTCCGAAGGGTTACGGAAGGACATTGTTGGAGGTGAACGGCGAGCGTGTCCTCGGGAGTAGGACGGGACTTCAGGGCGAGTCAAGGGACATGCTGATGGAAGTCCGAGGTTCGCAAACTCCTGCCTCACCACAGCTTGTATTAACGCCACTGACGGCTGTTGTCGGTCAGAGGCGAGCGTTGCGAAAACAGGTGGCTGAAGAGGAGCCGGACAGGCGGCTTCGATTTCCCGACGAACAATGCGTGTGACGTTGTCATACGTGGGGGACTGGCGGGCGGCTTCACACGATGAGGTCGCGGCCGTGTTGGGCAGCCGGGTCAATCGCTGAGTAATACGGCGGCTGTTGGTTTCTTCGAACCGCCGGCACTCTTTAATGATGGCGTCGACGGTGGCAACGTTGTTGTAAACTAAAAGACTAAATGCGTCGTCTGCTATGCCTTTCAGCACATGGGCCACTTTCTCAGACTCACTCATGTGCTCGTCAATATGGCGGCATAGGGCGATGACGTCGTGAATGTACGCGACGTACGACTCCGTCGACGTCGGTGCACGAGCCGCCAGTCGATTCCGCGCTGCGATCTGCCGCCCAACGGTGTCGCCAAAAAGGTTGCGGATCTTCTCTTTAAAGCAGTCCCAGCTCGTAATATCCGCTTCGTGCCTCTCGAACCACACCCGCGGTGGGCCATCGAGGTAATAAAGCACATTGGCAAGCCTAAGAGTCGGGTCCCACCTATAGCTTGCGCTGACCCGTTCGTACCGGTATATCCATTTGTCGACGTCAACGCCATCCTGACCAGAAAATACACCGGGATCACGAGCAGGAGGTAGAACGACGTACGTAAAAGTCACGGTAGGGGCAGGTGGCGAAGGCGATTGTTGTTCGACCTGTGACATGGTTGGACCTATGATGATGCGGCCGTTGCGGAGCTTCGTGATGAAGACGGGGAAGTACCGAGCACCTCCACCACAAAGATGTTACGTAAAAATGACACGGGGCGTGTCTACTTAAAATCTATATTCAAACTGATGCGTATGGCGTCGATTAAGATGGAAGACAGCACGCACAACCGACAGACCACTTCCTCGTTGTCGTCTTCTGACCGCTGATACGTCAGCTACGCAGCAATACTGTTAACGAAACCAGCTGACCGATGGGAAAACGCACTAACGAAAGAGAAGTTTTGTGCACTCGGACCCTCATGTGACAACGGAGCACTTCCAGATTGGATTGGATTGGATTGGATAAACTTTTATTTTGTCCTCCAAAACACAGATCACTGTGTTGCGGGCAGCTCCCACGTGGGGACTGAGATGCCAAGCTCCTCAGCCGCCTCGCGGGCTTGGTGGACAGCCCAGAGCTGATCTGCCAAAGACGAGCTGCGGATCGCCGCCTCCCATCTGGCAGAGGTGATGTGCGATAAATGAGCGAATTTGGTGCACTGCCAGAGCATGTGTTCTAATGAAGCTATTTCCCCACAATGTGGACAAAGATTACTTGGGTATAGGTCAGGGTACATGATGTGTAACATTTTCAAAGTAGGGTACATCCGCGTTTGCAAAAGCCTTAATGTAAGTGCTTGGGGCCGGGTTAGATTTTTGTGAGGTGGAGGGAAAATCCTTCTAGACAGGTAGAAATGTTTAGTGAGCTCGTTATATGTTGTAAGAATTTCCCGGTTATCCCCTTCACCGGTAGAATGCATCCCCGGGGAGGCGCGGTTGGAGAGTTCTCGCGCCGCCTCGTGTGCTGCTTCGTTGAGATTGGGAGGGGAATCGTTGATTTGTCCAAGGTGAGCTGGGAACCAACTCAGAAGATGATGTGTTATGTTCTTGCCTTGCAGTATTTTCAGCGTTTGTTCACAGACCGTCCCCTTGGCGAACGCCGGTAGTGCTGCCATGGAATCACTGTAGACGACTTCAATGTTATCCATCTTGAGTGCTAAGGCGATGGCCACTTGTTCCGCAATGATTGGGTCTTTCGTCCTGACCGTCGCTGAGTTGACGACATGGCCAGCCCCATCGACTACCACTGCCACAAACGCTTTCCCATTGGCGTAGGAAGCCGCGTCAACAAATACGACCCCTCGTTCCTCATTTGAGACATGACGAAGTATAGTCCTGGCCCTCGCTACTCTTCTTCCGACGTTGTGTTCTGGATGCATGTTTCTCGGTATAGGAGATACCGTGATAGTCTCCCTGATGTTGTCAGGGATATCATTGTAATTGCGTCTGATTGCTATTGGGTGTTGGCCCAGCTCCTGCAGGATCATTCTCCCCGACCTTGTAGTAGATAACCTTGCAAACTGTGCTCTCTCTTGGGCTTCTGCTATTTCTTCGAGCGTGTTGTGTATGCCAAGCTCAAGCAGACGCTCGGTGCTGGTATGTATGGGTAGGCCCAGGACCTTCTTGATAACTTTCCTGAGGAGCACATTCAGTGTCTCGTACTCTGCTCTTGACCAGTTGTGCATTGCTGCCTCGTATGTGAAGTGACTTAGAACAAACGCATGCATCAACCTGATGAGGTTGTCTTCCTTGATCCCATTTCTTTTGTTGGCTACTCTGCGTATGAGGTGCACCGCACTGTCTGTTTTCCGAGTTAACTTGGCTATAGATTTGCTGTTGGCGCCGGTAGACTCTATCAGCATTCCCAGTACTTTGATGGAGTCGACCCTCTGGATGGCATCCCCTTGATTTGTACGGAGATGGATGTCTATCTGGTTTAACGGCTTCCATCCCCTGGGCTTCGGTCCCCGGCGTGCAGTCCGATAAAGCAAAAGTTCTGACTTACTCGAGGAGCACTTGAGCCCGGAAGGGCGAAGGTAGTCTTCTACGGTGTCACTTCCAGATTGCTATGCAAGTAATATATCGTCTAAGTTTTGTGTTAGATTTTTGCGAGTGAATATTTTTGCCATCATGAAAAAATAAATGTGAATAAGAAATAGGCGTTTGCAACTCCCTTTGATTACAGGGTGCTCCTTGCTAGTTGGTCGTTACACTCACAATGAAGTAAAATGAATGTTACCTCCCACTGAATGGAAATGCGCTTGTCCGAGAGGGCTTTGGCTGCCACGTTTTTCGGCACCGCCTCGGGGCTGTCCGCTGGAACAAAAAGGACGCATAGGGTGTGTTCAGATAATAACGTGGACGCATGTCCACTGGCCCCTTAAATTTCGCTGAAATGTATACATATTGTGCTCTCTGAGTGCTCACACCCACTTCAACAATATTAGTTTCATAAATAATGAATTTTGCTTTTGTCAAAAAATGAAAAAAAGGAAACCCAAGTCTACACTGAGCCAGAATGTCTTTCTGAGAACTGCACAAAAACGAAACCTTGAAGTTGACGAAATACAACAACAACAACAACAACAACAACAACAACAACAACAACAACAACAACAACAACAACAACAACAACAACAACAACAACAACAACAACAACAACAACAACAACAACAACAACAACAACAACAACAACAACAACACACACACGACGACAACAACAACAACAACAACAACAACAACAACAACAACAACGACGACGACGACGACGACGACGACAACAACGACAACAACAACAACAACAACAACAACAACAACAACAACAACAACAACAACGACGACAACAACAACAACAACAACAACAACAACAACAACAACAACAACAACAACAACAACAACAACAACAACAACAACAACAACGACAACAACGACAATAACGACAACGACAATAACAACAACGAGAACGACAACAACAACAACAACAACAACGACAACAACAACAACAACAACAATGTAGCTGTTGGTATGAATTTTTTTGCGCACTGTGAATCGCATATGTTCACAAAATGTTGCCTTGTCGTTATGGAAACGCATTGCAGAAATGTCACAATTATGACACAAAGTTGAATAATATTCTAATTTGCTCCGATTATTTTGCTCCGTTTCCGTAATAGGCACAATTTTCGAAATTACTCGGCGTTGCTACACATTAGGTTAACGATTTACTATTGCTGATACTCATGCGAAACACGAACAAAAAATTTTAAAGTATGGGCATGTCTGTTAAAACGAAAAAAGTTGGCGAACAAATAAAAACGCACAGCTTTTATCTCGTTTACACTCCTCAAGACTGAAGTCAAGATCATGTTCTGACTTAATCTGAACAAACATGCGGCATTATTTTTGTGTAATCGCCGTCACGAAGCCCTCCGATGTAGCCAGATTGACGTTAAAGCAATCCACTCAAGTTATCGAGCATGCCATTGTCGTCATTTTTAGGTCGTAAATGTAGCGACGTGTTCTAAGACAGAATGAGTGACTCGTAGACCGAATGGGTCAAAGGACGAATCAGTCGAACCTCGACAGGGTGTGCGCACAGACACAGGGGGTCCCCAGGAGGTCAACTTTCCCCTTCGCAGTTGCACTGCGAACTCGTACTCCGTGTCCGGATCGAGAGGCGAGACATCCTGGCGCACCGCTGTCTGCCACGGTCCCGCCGTCGTCCAGTTTCCGCCGGAAGATTTCACGCGAAAGTGCAGCTGCAAGAAGAACGCAACATATAGACCTATTTCCATGTTTGTAAACAGCGGCAGGTGCCGTTGCCACACTCAGGCGCTTGAAGCGACGTCACTATACAGGCGCCTCAGTGTGCCCATGGCGCATACCGCTGTTTACAGACATGAAATATGTCTATCCGGGGTAAGTAATCTGCGTATTTATGACAAAATTCACGCAGCGTTGCATGAAATTCATCACGACGCTCCAATATCAATTATGGGGCCTTCGAGAAAGCCCGAAAAGTGGCGGAGAGTTTTGAGGTAGAGAGCTTAGGGCTTTCGATACCTCAACGTGGGAGATGTCGTTTGCCCCTAGTTTTTAGTCGGGCGTCCCTCAGTACCCATTTTTGAGAAATGAGGTTACACCCCCTCCCCCCCGCTACTACTCTCACCAGCTTAAATCAGCGTGTGACGTACGATTAGGTGTTTCGCAGGTAACGTACAACAGTCCATTTGTGACGCATTTCGTCGGTGGTAACCATGCATGCGCAATCAGAATGAGAGACTAGAGTGCTAGTTGATCCTGCATAACTCGTGGTATGGTGCTATGCCTGGCGTCCCGCGCACCAGTTGGCACGATATCGCATGTCATATTGCACTGACTTTCTCAAAATCCTACTCGCAGGCTTATTGATTAATAACAGCTAGGAGACTACTTTGTGTTTTACTTGTTTATCAAGCTATAAGGTCGACAGAAATTAACTCCAGCACCTAAACAATAAAAGAAAACAAAATAGAGAAAAAAAGAGAAAGAAATAGATATCAAATGGAAACAGAAAATAAAACAATACCGAATGAACAAAATTTGCTTTCTTTATGAAATGTGTGAGCTTGATGTGAATTGATGGTGTTTTCTAGGTATACCTGGTACTCGATCTGGTTGCCTCGCCCACCCCGCTTCTTGATTGGCGAGTTGGAAGGTTCCCAGGATGCTACTGCCGAGTCGGCGGACACCTTCACTTTCGGCGGGGAGGTCAGCTCGGGGGGACCTTGAGCGAGAAGGGGACGATAAGAGAGCGAACAAGAACAAAACGTTCTATATCCAGGAAAAAAAAAAAACGAAGTTTCATTTAAAATGGAACACTTTTTCTTAGTTGGGCAGTAGTGAAGAACAGAGCAGGAAAGAGGTCACAAACAACATATACTAGGGAGGTCGCAATGACCGTGAAGAATGGCTTCAACGTTTTTGTGCTCTTTAATGTCCACCCAAATTGTGCTCAATAAAAGTATCTAAAAAGAAGTAATGGTTGTACACTGGTTACGGCCTTCTGCTGGTGAATGTTAGGTTGCGGGCTTGAATGCCAGCTGCGGTTATCAGGGTGGTAAAGACCACTGTTTATATGTATATAGAAGTGCAGTCGTTAGCAAGTGTAACTCGAACGCTACGGAGCGTCTTGAAATGGTTTAATTGACGCCTAGGCCGGGTGGCCTTGGGTTTCGTTGCCGAAATGTTGCCTATGCCCGCAGACGTATTACCCGAGAATACCTAGGTATTATCTCTGTGACAGCGCCCCAGTGCTTTGAGGATGGCATTAGTTAAATCAATCCCGATGACACTGCAGAGCGTTCGAGTTAAGCTTGCTGACGACGGTACGTTAATTAAGACCATTAAGTAACAATTAGTAAAAAGCTCTGCACTATACATCAACTTTTACTTTGGAGCATAAAATGGATAAGTGAAATTAGGTATAATTCTTCTGACAATGAGGTCTGCAGAATTTCACCAAGGGGAGGAGGTGTGCTTTTATCGCGAACTGCTTGTCAAGCAGAAATTTTTGTCAAGTGCGGTGATACACCGACCTTAGAGTCGCGGAATATCGGCCTCGTGCTCTGAACATTTAGGCCCCGTGAAGCTTGCACAATAGTGTGGCCATGCAAGAAAGCTGTTGGGATTTTTCATTCCGGCGTCAAACACTCTTTCACAGAAACCAGTACGGCTCTTTCTTGTACCATTACATAATACTCAGACGCGCGCCTGTTTGATATTTCCGATAAGCATTGACAAGGAATTGCGTAGATTCAACGTCACAGACCCTCATATATAGCAAAGACTGAATGGGGAATCACGGCAACTTTAAACCAATCACGTGGTTCAGACTTCCGAGCCGGCCTTAGCCGCCAGGAGAAGGTGAAGCTGCGAAGACTCAGTGTGGTGACAGCACTCACCGCATAGGTTACATAATTCTGGCCACTAAACTTCATGGAATTCGGGAATACTTGCCTATATTGTCTTGCTCCATCACCCTCAGTTACAACATTCTTTGTGGACCTGACTTGGTCTAAACTGGAACCAACGACGCTAACTGCAGGCAGTGGACTTTCATCCTACCAGAGCACAACAGTTGTGGCTCTTGTTGTGACCCTCGTCCATGGACGGACGCCATGCTGGCCATGAGAAGCATAGCCGGGCGGCGTTCCCACGTTCCGGAACCCCCAGTGTTCTTGTCTCGGAACGAGCGTCCAGCGGCGGGAAGCAACAAAGGGATTAGGATGTAGCAACTTCGACTGTTCGTGGGCCAATATCCCTACGGGCCTTCCCTCCTGATGACTTGTTCGGTGAGACGGCGAAGCAGACTGACCACGCAGGTCGTGTCTAAGCAATTAAAGTCTCTACTCTTTGGCTGCCCTTCCAGGGATAGACAGCAGCAGCACCCCAAGCGCCAACTTATTCCGTGAAGGACCCCGCATTCCCTCTCCTCGGTGAAGCTGCCCGGAGGAGTATCGCTTGCGTCAGGAGATGCGATGACTATTAGGCGGCCGTGTGTTATTGGCTGATGCCAAAGCGGGTGGTGTCTCGTGTGTGATTGGTGCTTCAATCAACGAGGAAGAGCCTGACAGGGCTTAAAACGACGCTTGGAAATGCTGGACGTGGCTCTGGACCATGGTTTAACAGTTTAACGGTTCATCCACCAGGCTCGTGGTTTGCGAAACTCCTAACCTCTTATGCTCTAAATAGTTGTAAATATTGCTATAAACTTGTTTGTTTTTCGAATCCCCAACTTCTCAGCGTTCGTTTCCTCGACACGAAGTTGCACCGCGCTACCACAAGAGACCTGGTCCGACGTAACCCTGATGTCTCGGCAGCGCACGTCAGCGGGGACGCGTCGGGTAGACCCCGGCTCACAACACTCTGCGCACTACGAGCCGAATCGTCAAGTCATACTTAAGTAGTGTGTTGAACTCCCAGTGGTTAGTCGAAAATGTCACGACAGCGATCCTGTGACGATGCCATGTACCAAAACAATACCAAAGATGTAGTCAACAACCGTCACAGCGTCCTCTCTTGAATAAGTAACCCTAGCGTTGTTTAAAAACAATAAATTACTACTAAATAGCTCTTGGACAAGCCCTTTTAAGTAAAAACTAGCGTCGCTGTTTTCGCACCTCGAGCTCCAGCAAAGTTTTATTTGAACTACTTGCTACGGCGTTCCACATGTTACCCTCATCAAAATGTACGAAAGATTAACGAGAAAGAAAGGAGGACGAGTGATGTGCAAACTTCCAGCTGTTTATATTCGTAAATGCACGTCAGAGATATGCACAAAACACTGATGATAGCAAATGACTATGCCATAGCGCGAACTTTGCGAAAGCAAGTCAATTTCAAACTTTCGTGTTTCGCGTGTGAGTCTCAACTAATCTAGCAACTGTCAATAAAGTTAAAGGTTGCCCCACTGAGGGAAATAGAATGAAAGATTGTACACTTGTTTTGTTTGCTTTTTAGTTATTCATTCGTGCGTTTTGCTCAGTGCAGCAATACTTGAATCCTCACATTCAGCAGATTTTATTCTGTTGCAATACAAGGTTACGCTGCCAAATCATCACCGCAAATGTTTCGACTTTCGAACATACCCAGAACTGTCACGTGTAGCGTTCCGACGTCGAAGCCGTGATCATTTTTGGCGGTGCAGTGGAACTTGTAGCTTCCTGGCTCCATGCTCCGGGGCAGCGGTGCCGATGCCTTGTAGGTGTCGCCGCCCACGTCCTTCACCGTCACGTTGGTAAAGTTCTTGCGAGTCTCCCTGGTCGCGTCGCGGCAACAGGTCGGTAATTAGCTAATGGATTGATTAGATGAACATCCAAGAGAAATGTTCAGGGCACCAGAGCTGAACGCAAAGAGCTGCTCCTAAGGAAGGCTTTGGGCGTCTCAGGCCGACTCAGAATAACAATTTAAGAACAAAAATCACTCACAGCACTGCGAATCTTTAGATGCCTTTTTGCGTCAAGTTCTGAGTGCTTTCAGTTGGGTCTACTAATATACAATGAAAAAAAAATTGCCCGCAGCTTCCCTCGGGGGAACACTGAGGAGGATGCGGAGCATATAATTGGTTAACGGGGTGTTAAAGTGCGACTTACTTGGGTCGATGGCTAAATTGGTTAACGTGGTTGTGAAATGGGGTGTTAAATTGCGACTTACTTGGGTCGCTGGCTAAATTGGTGAACGTGGTTGTAGGAGGGGTGTTAAATGAGTGAACACGTACGACACGTATGCGAAAGGGTTGGACGACGACTTGGTTGCGGTTCCGCCAACACTTTGGCCGGCGCTGGTCGAAGGGACGTCGATCATTGCGACCTCGGACGTCGACGCGCCGTACAAACCAACCGACGAGCGGCAACTGAGCGAGCGAGCACCGACCTTGAGTATATATACAGCGCGACGGCGCATGCACTGTCAGCTGTCGAATGTTCGAGAAGGGGGAGAAGCGCAACGGCGCATGCGCGCGCGTCAGCTGCCGATGTTCTCGAAGCGCGACTGCGCATGCGCGCGCGTCAGCTGCCGATGTTCTCGAAGCGTGACGGCGCATGCGCGCTACATTATACAGCTAGCGAATGTTCGTGAAGAGGAGAAGCGCACGCGGTGTGTAGAGGAGGAAGGGTGCACAGATGGTGGAGGAGTGAAGCGCGCGCGGTATGTAGAGGAGGAAGGGATGCACAGATGGTGGAAGAAGCAGGAGGAAGCTTGCGGACGGCGCCGCACTACAAGCCTCGAGTATTAGATGCTCCGTATCTAAAAAGCATAGCAAATAAAAGAACGAAAATTTTTATGAATGATGGTGATTTAGAAACAGAGTTTTTTACTCCCGTAGAAAATGTTAAGCTTGAATCGAAACTTCTAAAGTAATTGCCCAAACATTTTTTTGTATAAATGTCGCTAATACCTTCACCGCATTGTTCATGCAACTGTCCTTTTATTGTTTATTTATATTTGAACTGCCTAATTGCTTTCTTGTTTTGTGCCACCTTTACAAAATGTTACGAGTAGAGACCGAGTTGACAGGTGCCCCTTCATTAGATGTCAGAGCCAGAGTTCTTGGAATCAGACGCTGAATAATTACAGCTACTACAGGGAGTTTTCCGACCTAATTACAGGCACCCTTAACATTTGTAGCTAAGAACTACTCGAATCCTGAGAACAAGAAACGAGATAGAAGAGAGGTCTGGCTTAGTTCTTTAACGATTTCATTTCGCGAAGTAATGTTCGTTTCGTAACAACCAGCTTGAAACGCTTCGTGAGAAAGATTGCGAGTGACACTCACTGGTTGCTGAGTTCGACGACGGGTGCGGGATTGGCCTCGACAAGACACTCAAGGGAGCCTGGGTGTCCCTGGTCGACCTCCAGTTCTTCTGATGGCAGCACTTCGGGCACCACTGAGACACCGTTCAAGAAAGCATAATTAAGAATACTCCCAAACTCCGGTGATAAGCAAGTGTCCCCGAGCCCCCATTGAAATTACCACTAATATAAGCGCAATGTATAAATAACGGAATCGCAGGTGAAAACAGCAATCTCCTGATTGAACAGAAGCCTGCGGGATGGGTGCTCGCTTCAAAATGACGTCACGAGAAGTACGGCCGGTGAAAGTGCCTTCCGAGAACATTGATGAGTGCACGGGGTGGGACTATTTCTTTAGTCAAGAAGGAGATCGGCTGTCGATCTTCGGCCTTCTAGACGGGGTTCTCCCGGACTTGATAAGTTGTACCCGGCTACATTTTAAGCGATTGAGTAAAAAAGCAAAAGCACGCACGCAAGTTGTCAACAAAAACGCCCGCACGCACGCACGCACCCGCACGCACGCACGCCACGCCCACGCACACGCCCACGCAACACACCAAACACACACACAACCACACACACACACACACACACCACACACACACCACACACACACACACAACCCCACCACACACACACACACACAACACAACACACCCACACCAAACACAACACCAGAGAAGACGACGAAGAGAGATAGAGAGAACAGAGAGAGAATGGAGAGAGAGAGAGAGAGAGAGAGAGAGTAATGCGGAGAGGTAATTCGGAGGAGAAGTCCAGTTGGCTACGCTGTGCTTGGGTAAGGAAACAAGCGTTATGAAAGAATGAAAGAGGGGAGCAGTCTACGACAACACTCAAATTCATTAGGACTACGTTAGTGTCCAACTGATGCTCTAGAACAGGAATCAGGAACCTTTTGAGGTGAATGGCCGAGTTACGTGGGGCCGACATGGCAGGGGCCACACGGTATTGTATATGTGTGTGTGTGCGGGGGGAAATCTTGACAACCAATGAAAAAGATTCGTTGAATTAAATATAATGATTTGCAAAAAAAGGACTACAAATCATGTATATTTTCAGCACGCATGAAACAAGGTTATGATTTATCGACATAGGTTAGAAGCAAAAAAAAAAAATATGTCCGTTCAATGCGACTCTGATCATCCTCAGCCAACTTGCGAATATCTAAACTAACGTTGCTCAGCGATAGTTGCAGAAAATCGTGGAGGCGTGCATCACATAGTCGGGAGGTTTCATCAAGGAGGTAAGGGTGTTGGAGGAGTCGGGGCGTAGAGGGTAGTTCTGACGTCAAGCCGTGGGCCGCAGGCTGCCGATCCCATGCTCTAAAACATCACCGATTCGCAGCCACAATATATATCGTTCAGTACTGTTTCTCTGAGAAACCGCAGCAACGCCTTCAGGGAACCTGCTGCACTCCGCGATTCAACGAGATTCGACGCTACTGAACCACGTTCACGCTCGGCCAACGTATTGAGCGGAAACTTTGTTCGGCAAGTGAAATGCATGTATAGCTCCTCTAAATGAATCGGTGACATCAAAGATAAGTGTGTATAACTGCCTAATTTGATGTCTTCAAGATGAATCTGTAACAGCGCTGACTACTAACCGCCCTAGAGTGAGAAAACCAATGATGAGGCTATGCTAAATATCACAAGGCGGTGCCCACTACCTATACGCGCACTGTGACAGTGATGCAGAGTGCCTTACTTTCGTCGCACGAGTGACCCCGGTGGCGTCCCGTGCACTGGCAGCTGCCGTTGACGTGGTCACAGGTCTCGCCGTGAAGGCACGAGCAGCTCTCCGAGCAGTTCTCGCCGTACTTTCCTGCCTTGCACTCTGTTGCGCAGAACCGCACCAGGAAGCAACAAGAGAAAAGAAGTAGTGATGCTCAGTTTATAGTGTAAGTTCTTTGTCCTATGTGTCTTGCATATAGCCTATCTTGCAAGTTCGACTAATGCCAGCAATGTTTACGAATCAGTCAGAAATTGGTGCTTTTTGAAGAATATTTAGGCGTTTTGCAGTTTCTGCAAATACGAATTGACATAAACGATTACATCTAAAAAAATCAGAAAGAAAACCATGCGTAGTTGACCTTCCTAAACACCAGAAATTATTATAAAAACACAAGTTATACAAGTCAAGGTAGATCCTTTGCCTCCGCGCTCTAACTCATGTCCACACTTTCAATCGCAAGGCAAGAGGAGTCACAGAAATTGGGACACTCGAGTCGACGGGTACCATGACGAACACAAGCCTTCTTCAACACAAGCCAGAGCTCGCTCCCGAAGAAGGCAACGTTCATTTTTTTTTTGTTCATTGAATGTTGAGCCCAGTATGAATGATGCAGCAACGGGTATGCCAGAACCAGGGACATAGCCAGAAACTTTTGTAGGGAGAGGGGAGTGTTTGAACCACCTACTATGCATGTTTGTGCGTACGTTAGGGCTTCTACCATTCCTACAGTGTTGTTCTTGCGGCACCCAATCTTCGAATTGTGTCATTGGGTAATGGGCAGTTTATGAAGTACAGTAACCGACAAAGCGAAAATTTCTGCCCCATATGATGCCGAGATACAAATGACAGTACAAGCTTTCGCGAGAACAGAAAATCAATCAGACATGAGAGTGAGTATACAGTAGATTTGCAAGCAACGTACAACGGCGCAGCGTGTCTTGCTTTACTGCGATGCGTTTAAAGATTGCGAATGTGGTACGAACTTAGTATGCTAAGAGCTCACCCCACACTTCATGTCCAGCGTACATTACCCATACTGGATCTCTGGGGTTGTAAACCAGGCACGCGCGTGGTTAACCTGCGATTCTATTCTCCGTGTTAAAAGTAAACATAGCCAAAAGATATCTGCCTCGATGGGTAAAATTATAAGAAGAAAAGACTCTCCAGAAAAGTGAAGCTTCTTCTGTCCTCATGAAAAAAAAAAGGGTCCTCGATTCGAGGTTTCTTCGGCCTAGAAACATAGGGCTTGAAACTGATAAAAAAAAAAAAAACTAGATTGAACAGTTTCTTCTTATTATTATTCGTTGCCTGGATCTTGATTTTTTCAGAGAAGAGAGCATTTTCACTCACGCAATCTTTGAAGTAAAACAGTCACTTAAGCATGATAAGGATCTAGGGCTGAAGTTGTAGCTTTCGGTGTCCACAATTGTCTCAATCCGAACGGCGAACCAGAACCAGCAAGACATGGTTCAACCCAAACAAAGAAATGATTAAAAATGGTTGAACAGGAAATGATGCGGGAGCCATAATTTTTTACGTCACGACTCGCCTTCTCTTGGGCAGCACGTGCTTCCCTCAACACGCCACCATAGCCTGTTTTACGGAGGGGTTTCAGTGCCGCCATGTTAAGCTGTTAACCACTGTGTTCTGCATATTTAACGACTAACCGAACAGTGTTACTATTGACGCACGTGCATGAAAAGTGTGATCGAGTTGGCGCAATACGATGTTTTATGATATTAATTATTTCACATTGCAATTTACAAAAACAAGCAAATATCAGCTTAACAGCCCAAGATGGCGGCGTCCACATGTCTCAGGTAATATAGTCTATAAAAAAGCAGTCATTCCTCCCCCCCCCCCCCCCTTTTTGAGGACGGGTCCCCTTGTCCAAACGTCGAGCGACATTACCTGGATAACGATTTTTCATCACATCCATCTCAAATGAATAGCCATCGTGTTTGAATTTCAAGTTGCTAGGTTCTTAAAGATTGTCTCCTGTAGTTGCAACCGATTTCATACCTAGGCACGAAAACGTGCGAGGGCCGACTCACTTTCCTGACAACTGAGGCCCTGGTATCCGGCCTCGCAGGCACTGCAGGTTCCGGACACGGGGTTGCATGCGCCGCTGTCCTCGGCACAGTGGCACTCGTACGCACAGTCCGGCCCGAACGTGTTAGTTGTACAGGCTGAAGAAAAGAGAAAAAAAAATTAAAGACAGGAAATGGTTATACAAAAGTATAAATACTCGTTAGACTGATAACGGTCACTGTTATTTGTCCCACAGTTAACATGGTGGGCAATACTACATTGCTATTGTTGACGACAAAAAACAAACAAACAAACAAACAAACAAACAAACAACAAACAAACAAACAAACAAACAAACAAACAAACAAACAAACAAACAAACAAACAAACAAACAAACAAACAAACAAACAAACAAACAAACAAGCAAACAAACAAACAAACAAACAAACAAACAAACAAACAAACAAACAAAAAACCAACCAACCAACCAACAAACAAACAAACAGGCAGGCATACATAAACAAATCAATCATTCGGTCAATCAACCATATTTATGATGAATATTGAGTGAACTATAAGAAAAGTGTGCAGTGCGTTTGTATTTGTGTAGGAAGAGCGTTTTTTCACCTCAATTTTTATCATTTTATGTTTTTCCGCTAATTTTTTCTGCCCAGGTCCACTTCAATGCAATGTAATGTATTGGTGCTCACTTCAAACGAGAGCTTCAAAACTTGCCAAACGCGGCACTGTAGATAATACTTTTTTGTTATTAACTTTTTATTTTTATCCTAAAAACCACATGGTAAGGGGTAGAGATCACCAAAAGAGCCCAACTCTTTCATTTGTTTTTTATTTCAATAAAAAATAAGTGAACAGTCAACTAAAAAGAAAGAGAGTCACTCATGACCACCGAAAAACACCACAACATTATAATGCCAGCCGTAGGCACAAATGCTGTAGGAATTTGTAACTGAAGTGCTTTTAGGAACAAGGAGCTTTTGCATTGAATAATTGGATCAATTTAACTAATCGACCTGACATTTCTTCTGGGGTTTTTGGTGTAATATTGACCATTGCGTTAGGATGTTGTTCGAAACAGCCAGTTTTCCCAGATTTCTGTCACCTAACACAGGTTGTCACGATGCGAATAGGCGTGCGTACCTTGCTGGCAGCGTTCTCCCGTCCAACCGGCAGCACAGCCATCGTGGCATCGTCCGTCAGACATGCAGTTCTGGTCGCCGTTCCAGCAGTGGCACGACAGGGAGCAGTTATCGCCGAACATCCCGGACAGGCACTCTGCGTGGGCAAGCCCATGCGAGCAGCACTTCAAACCAAACTTGATTCCTTTCAGAAACACGTCCGACTTATTTGTGCGTCCCATTAGATGCCCCTGGCGTAGCCTATCCGAGGTAGGGTGAAAGATCGATACGTGGAAACACGCACTCGGTACTATGTCTCGGGAGTGATCTGTACGTTGAATGGTGACAAAGGGTCATGGTTACAAACTTTCTTATGCACAAAGGCTTTTTGTCATTCAGGAGTGTCACACTATACTGTTTCTTTATTTGTATATGAAGACACATGGCAAGGTTGGGTACATTAGAGCAGACTATTGCATCAACATGATATCAGTAGTGAAAAAAGACGTAACAACAAGGAGAACCAGAAAAAGAATAAAATAATGGAAGCACTGTTTGCGTATATGATATATGATGCGAGTCCACCGCGGTGGAGCAGTGCTTAAGTGCTCGGCTGCCTAAACGAAGGTCACGGGTTCTATCCCAGTCGCAGTGGTCGAATTTCGACGAAGGCGAAACGGTATAAGTCAAGTCCGTGTACTGTGCAATATCAGCGCACGTTAAGGAACGCCGTATGGTCGAAATTTCCGGAGCCCTCCACTACGGCGTATCCCATAATCGGGACGTTAGACCCCGTACAATATTATAATATGACGCAAAAAAGAATTAGTAGAGTCTTAAAACACAGTTCAATGCATAGAAGGCGGTCACATATCTATAGATTGCGTCATCAGTGCTCAGTGTATTCAACTGTATTTTGTTCTTTCTCTTTTATTGTTACAAGAACAACAATATTAGCGTGAAACCGGAGGAAGTGCTTTAGCGTCTCCTTGGGGAATCGACTTAGAAATGCTTACGCATTTTAAAGGGGTAATATAGAGCACGATGATGTTGCTATATATGTACACAACTACAGAAAAACATTTAGCATACCCATAAAGAGCAGTCTAGATTTATTTCATTATTGAACGCTATGACCACGTGCAATATGTTACTGTGTTTAGAACTCAAGGCAAACAATTCAGAGTACCTTTAGTATTATTCGAGCCCTGCTATGGGAGAGAACTACGGCCATGTTTGAAAAAAAAGTATTTGATGAGTTTGAGTACTTCGTACTCAACAATGGCAGAGTAGTGAGCCGTCCAGATTTCTTAAACCCAGGATCGTAATGAGTTACAACCACGCAGGTTACTTGGATCGATGCGTGCATGCCAACAAAAACAACCTGAGTACTTGTTGTGCCCCCAACTTGTGCGAAAACGTTCTCTTTCATTTCTATTATTTCCCCTTTACCCCACCCCAACTGTAGGGTAGCCAACCGAGTCAAGCTTGGTTAACCTCCCTGCCTTCCCTTTCTATTTCTCTCTCTCTCTCTTCTCTTAAACTTAGCGACCACCGTAGTGCACTGCCACCTCAAAAAAGCGTGGTCAGCACATGGTCGTCAAACTAATAAAAGCGCTTCGACCAAGTATGTTAGCGAAGCACATTACTATCGTCATCGTTTTCTCATCTCTCTTTGGCTCGCCATTTATCGTCGTCGTGAGGTCAGGCTGTCACGCTACTGTGAGAGGGGTTCCTCAGGCATACAGAAATTGTGATGATAAAGTTCCACTTGTTCATGAGTGTTTCGTGGAAGCTGTTATCAAAGTGCGAGATGTGTATGAGTCTACAGACTGTTATGAAGATGTGATGTCTTTGTTTGATGCATTAACGCACAAGAAATGGGCGTGGTGAGTGATTGCTTGACTATCTTGACCTGTTGTCAATAAGGCAAAAAAAAAAAAGCCTGTGACGCAAGAAAAAAAAAAAGTGGGAGGGTTCCTCATCGCCCTACTTTGACAAAGTGCTCGCGCTGCCCAAAAAAGATTTTCATTAGTGGAGCCAAAGCCACAAATGGCATAAGAAAAAAAGTGTGATAATTATGAATGGCCTCTACCTCATGTAAGGTAGAGGCCTTTCCCGAGATATACTGAGGTACAGAGGCGGAGCCATGTTTCTTTTTTGGTCATTGTTTGTTTTGTGACGTCATTTCCGTTTCTTTTTTATTTTTTATAATTTTTTATTCCACGTAGAGAGGCTGTATGTTTATGAAGCCATTCTGGTGCCTTATGTTGTTCTACTGTTCTCTCGAGGGTAGAGTGACAACACTGAGCGGAGCGTGGACTCGACAGCACCGACAGGTTGAGGCGGTCACATTTGATCACATGTTTCATTACGACTTCGTATGCGGTGCGGCTGCATGGTCACTTTAATTGCGAATTTGGCTAACTTACCAGCCTAACTAGATAGCGCTGGTAAATCTAGTTAGGCTGGTAAGTTAGACGATCCATATCGCGATCCATATTTTCCCCACCTCAGTCACAGATTACTTTGCACTGCATTGAAACATCGCTTTTATTCTCCACCCACCTATTATGCATTACCCTTTCAGTGGGGTTATTAAGGAATTGAAATGAAATTAAATAGAAAAAGCGTCCGCGTGGCACCGGCATGGTGTAAAAGCAAGCTCGACGGCACGCAGAAGTTCGAACCATCATGGTAGCGGATATTTACGACGGTGGACACCAGTCGTTGGAGGCACACATAATATTTCCAGATATCTTGTCGTGATTACGATCATAATTAAGCCACTTGATTTCCCTAAGGACCTTTTTTTGGAAATTGGACGTGTTAGAGCGTTCGCCAGAAAGCAACTGAGTTCAGTATAACGAACTCTGGAGTGAAACTGCCACTCGTACTTTAAATGACATGGTTTGGTAGAGCCCCTGGTTACAGGGTTCTCAACGCACGACCGAAAAGGAATGGAAATTTGCGCGGACACGGATCAGGGTAGACACGGATCTAGTTTGGACTCACAAGTTAGCCATGCAGCCGCACCTCATACAAAGTTGTAATCAAATGCACCCGTGTATGCCCGTCGGCGCTGTCGAGCACAGGCCAGTTCGCGCTCAGCACACGGCTGTCGCTACCCATTAGAGAAAAATAAAACTAAAAAAATAGTGAAAAAAAACAGCGCGAAAAACGAAAGACCAGGACGAAGAAGGACACATAGAGACACAACAGCGCTCTTTATGTGTCCTTCTTCATTTGGTCTCTCGTTTCTCGCGCTGTTCCTTTTTTAATATGTGGTACCAACACGCCCAAGCAAACACTTCAGCGAAAAAAGAAAGCAACGAGAATTTCAGGAACATGCAGCCGCTCCGCACGAAAAAAACAAACAGAAAAAGAAACGGAAGTGGCGTCAAAGGAGCGACAAAAAGAAACGCGGCTCCACCCCCGTCCTTCAGTGCATTTCCGCATAAGAGAACCCTTATGCGGCACCTCGCATCATTTAAGGGGTCTATAAGGAGGAGAGGAGAATATGGGTGCATAGTTGGAAAAGAAGAAAGAAATGAAACTAAAGAAAATTTTTTGGTGAGGTGAAACTCGAAGCCGCGTAAACCTGATCTGAAGGTGAATGTTCTAGCCAGCCAGCTATCGAGGAACGCTAGCAGAACACACACTTATACGAACCATAAGATTGCATTGCTATGGGGGCGAAAAAGAAGAGAAAAATATTAAGAGAAAAAGAAACGAAAAAGAGGGAGACAACGAAAGAAACATAAATATATAAAGAGACAAGCAAGGACATCGAAACAAACAGACGGAAAGGAGAAAGCACAGCAAGCCTTTTACTATAGCATAGTGCATCCAGAGGGGTGGTGTGAAGTGAAAATTTATTTGAGCTTGAGAAAGTGAGAAAGATGGAAAGGAAAAAGAATTTATAACATCGCATGGCACAGTGGGGGGGGGGGGGGAAAGAAGTGAGGATAAGGAGGAAACAAAGAAGGGAAGAGAGCACCTCATAGCATAGCCTTGTATAGCATAGGATAGCAAAGAGTTGAAACGTGAGCAAGAGTGTGAGAAATCAGGAGGGTAGAGGGTAAAGCATAGCATAGTACAGTATAACATAGCATTTCAAGGAGCAGAGAAGAAAAGTGAGAATGAATAGGGAAAAGAGGGGAGAGCGCATCACAGCGTAGCCTTGTATACCAAAGGGAGCGAAGAAAAATCGAGGATGAGCGGGAGCGAAATGAGCAAGGGAGGTGGTGAAGCATAGCATAGCCTTGTATAGTACAGCAAAGAAATTGCTCGAATAGTGGGGGGGGGGGGGGGGTTCCGTGCCCTGACCCACACTCTTCGAAATAGAGCGATGGCGTCAACCTGGGTAACAAATAAAAATGACACCAGCAGCAGGTGTCATTTTTTGCTACAAAGAAAGATTGGGAAGGGAAGGAAATCGAGGGTGAGGATGAAAAAAAAAGAGACATCTGCACAAGCTCCATCGTCCCCAGCCTTCGCTCTAGTACGTAGCCGGCCAAAATGTTTTTTTCGCTAAAAGCTACCCTTTCTGAGAAATCCATAGGGTGGTCCTTGTGCCTCTATGTTGAAGGTTGGTGTCTGTCAGTTATACTTTTGAAAATGAATATTTTTACGCTACTTCAGAAAAGAACTCCTTGCAGACTGAAGAAGGAAGGTGACAAGTTGACGACGAGTCCACAAAGCCGATACATGTGTTTAAAAGCACCGCAGGAGGTAGCCTCACCTGAGCAGGTGGGCCTTGAGTAACCCGGCTGGCAGGAGCCCGGACACTCGCCCGAAGATGGGTCACAGGCCTCGCCATCGGCGCAGTGGCAGTGGTGCGAGCACGTCTTCCCGTACGAGCCCGGCGGACAGCTGGGCTTCAGCGTAGGCATTGACTTGGTTGATGTCGTGGGGCTGTCACCTACGTATGAGATGACGTTGTGCTGATCTAAGAGAGACTTCGGTTTGATCCCGAACCTATTAGTTGCCACACTACACCCACTCACACGCACACAAACACTTCTTGGAGTAGTGTTCAGCCACAGACATTGTTTGACCGGATGTGCACATTGGCTGGATAAATTATTTTTTATAAGACCCTTGTTCATTTCTATGTTTAATTTTAACGTCTTTTATTTATTGTACTTAGTTTCTCCCTGGAGCACTCATTACCCTTAATTCTTCAATAAATAATTTCTCCGCTCTTTGTACGTATTGCTGCAGAGTGCCCAAAATAAGTAGAGCAATAAATTTCACGATGGAGGCGGAAATGTTGTAGGCCTGGGTACTCAGATTTGGGTGCACGTTAAAGAACCCCAGGTGGTCGAAATTTCCGTAGCCCTCCATTACGGCGTCTTTCATAATCATATGGTGGTTTTGGGACGTTAAACCCCACATATCAATCAATCAATCAATCAATCAATCAATCAATCAATCAATCAATCAATCAATCAATCAATCAATCAATCAATCAATCAATCAATCAATCAATCAATCAATCAATCAATCAATCAATCAATTTCTGATTGGGGCAGTGTTAAACCGAGGTTACTGCCATTTAGTGAGATAAATTACGCAACTTTCGCGGCGTGTGCAGCTCTCTGCTGTCACTTTTATTTGTTTTGTTGAGCGTGCCTATTCTTTATTACAAGACCAAGCTGATAAAACATTGATCAACTTTACGAGTGCATCGACACAATAACGAAAACCGACAGGGTAAGTAGGGGCAAAAACATCACAGCTTATCCACGGAGGGAATGATGATGAATGGGGCGAAGCGTCCGTCAGCCTGTCCGCGCTTCCATCCGTCCGTCTGTCCGTGCATCCGTCCGTGCATAAGCACGTCCGTGCGCCCGTTCATCTGTGCGTCCGCCCATGCGTACATCCGTGCGTCCCTCGGTGCGTCCGTCCATGCGTCAAACAGACGGACAGACAACGGACAGACGCGGCCAGGGTATGATTCATCGTTTACCAATGAAACCCTCCGAAGCTTCGCCACACTCTTCATCATTCACTCCTTGGATATGCTGTGAGGTGCATGGTTACTACATACATGCTCGCATACAGGTGACGACCGACCCACACCTTAAGGAGCTTCGCCCCTAAAAGTACAGGCTTCCACCCGGTTGAGTGCAGAGATCAAGTGCGTATACACATGACTAGCGAGTGCGCAGTGATGCTGGAACACAGGGTTCCTTTAAAACGCGAAGTTATGGAAGCGCGATTTATACATAAGCGGGGTGATATGCGTGTCGGCGCACCGTCTCTCGAGAATTCCGAAGGCCTCTGCGTACCTGTCCGCAGACAGACACTATCGAAGAAAACTAAAGACTTGTGCCCACGCTATCCGCACAGCGCATGTGCCGGGACGCCTGCTACACGCAAGCGGAACGCGAAATAGCAAATCGGCGACGCTGTGGACGCCATCAAGTGTCCCGTCACGAGCAGGTGCGGCTGAGCAGTTGGTGCGTGTACAGGCTCTAACAAGTCTGACCATCACCACCCGATTACGCAGGTCGTGAAGGGGACGAGGACGAATGACGAACACCAACGGGACCAAGGTAGTTGCACCCGCACCTTTTCCAAGGTGTCTCCACGGGACCGTCTCTGATCTTTCTTGTATCCCATGCTCACTTTCATTTTGCTTTTCACTTTTGAAATGAATACCAACTTGTCGAGCCACTTTCCTTTCGAGGCTACTGAGCACGCGGGCCAGGCCACCCTGCTTAGCTAAAGTGCAGCAAGAAGTGATAAGTGACTGGCTTACCTGGCGAAAGCAATTAGAGACCGTAACAAGGTTATAGGGTGCGATTAATTGTCTAGACCATCTATGGCACTTTAAAATAAATAGCTTGATTACCTTGCCCGACTTCAAGGCAAATATGAATGTATGTTTTATGCGCGCCTCATAATAAGCCAGCCATGTGCCCACATTGTTTCTGCGCGCACCTCATAATAAGCGCACAGTCGTAAAGACTGTCCTCGAATCCAAAAGGAGCGCGCGGTTCTCAGACAATGGCCCGAGACAACTCAACACACAGGGAGGCAGCCGAAGTAGTCCGGCGTCGGCGTCGACGTCGGCATCATCGAAAGTCTTCAAAGAAGGCACATTCCCGAGACGCTCCTTCCCACCCTTTAGTGGTTCTATCCAGTAGCGCCGCGAAAGGGCCCACCACTTCTACGAAAGAAACAGAGAAGCCTCCTTCTTTGGAGGAATGGCCCACGCTCCCGACGCGCTCTTCTGCCAAGGAACCTCTGCAGAGTGTGGCCACACAAGAGCCGTCTACAACCATGGAAGATTTGCCTAAAACTGATCGTCAAGTGATCTCGGTGCTGCGTTCCCTTATAGAAGCCATCCGAGCGATATTAGTCGACATGAAGACACCATCTGCTCGAAGCGCACTTGGACTATTGGACGCTCTAAGCCCAGTGCTTGAATCTCTCAACTAGGAAGATGGCTACTCACACCTCAACTTTTCGCAAAGAAGTAAAGGCTGCATCCGTCATCCAATGGAACGCCAGAGGACTACAATCACGCCTTTCAGATTTTCGTCAGTTTGTGTTTACCAACGTGTTTCCAATCATCGTCATTTGTGAACCCAATTTGTCGAAACCAATAAGACTATCGGGGTACGAAGCTGTCATGTCTTCAACGAACGGTGCGTGCAGCAAAATTATCGTCTTTGTTTGTCGTGAACTGACGTATGTTGTGCAACCAATTGCACCTCACGATGACAATCAGTATGTCTGCATCACTGTGAAAAAGAACCAACTCATGTTTACTCTCATAGGCGTTTATATATCGCCGTCAAGTAATCTCGATTCCAGAAGATTAGCGGATATTTTGAGAGTGTGTCCTGCACCATGGGTCCTCATAGGTGATTTCAATGCGCACAGTCACGCATGGGGAAGTACGCGGACAAATGCAAGAGGACGCAGGTTAGCAAACATCGCCTACAACTATGGCCTTACTCTCCTGAACGACGGCAGCCCCACTTTTCTTCGAGGGGTGACATACGGTAGCTGTCTCGACCTTGCTTTTGTCTCCAACTCCCTCGCGAGATACGTCAAGTGGTTTCCAGATGTTGAGACACGAGGAAGTGATCACATTCCAATCTACCTTAACATCGAAGGCTTGTCTAGTTATGGTCCACGGACGACCATTCGAGCAGTCCAATGGACCAACTTCAAATCTGACATGGAAGATGCTTGCAGCGATGGCCTACGATCTGGGTTAGAGGAAACAATTAAGAGCACAATGCAAAACGCCACTCGCACGGTGACAATATCTTCCACACGAAACGACTTTGATATAGAGTTGGAGCGACTCCGAGCACTGCGACGCCGGGCGGAGCGTCGGTATCGGCGTACAAAATCAATTCACGATCTTAGGGCAGCCAGAAGGATGCAAAAGAAGATTCGGCGTTGCATGGATAGATTAGCGTCGGAACGATGGACAACGTTTTGCCAGTCACTAGACCCTCGCAAGCCACTCTCACACATTTGGAAAACGGTGCAAGGTCTGCGTCACCCTACGAAACAGCGCTTTCCATTCAAAGCGCTCGCGCTATTTCAAAGGAGGCAAGACATCGATGTTGCAGAAGATTTCTGTGCGCAGATCGCCAACCAAGCCACTCGTCCAGATTCTCCAGTGAGAGGTGACGTCCCCCGTTCCCGTGACTACCACATGGACCTCCTTTTTACAATGGAGGAGCTCGAGGCGGCATTAGCTCTCTGCAGGCGTTCAACTTCTCCGGGCCCAGATGGTATTCCGTACCGAGCCTTGTGCAACCTTGGGGAAGGTGCAAGGAGAGAACTGTTGAGCCTCTACAACATCTCGTGGCAGGATGGCAATGTTCCTGATGACTGGAAAGTAAGCCACTTGTTACCCATCTTGAAGCAGGGCAAATCCCCACTCGAACTCACCTCATACCGCCCAATAGCACTGGCCAGCTGCGTAGGGAAGATAATGGAACGGATGATACTAGGCCGCCTGGAGTGGTATTTTGAATACTACAAGATTTATCCGAATTCAATGGCTGGTTTCCGACGCGACCGCTCTTCTATTGACAATGTCGTTGATCTAGTTTCGTACGTTCAGCACGAAAGATCCCGTAAGCGACTATCTGCAGCTTTGTTTTTAGATGTGAAAGGCGCTTATGATAATGTACTACATGAAGCCATCCTGGGTGCTCTTGCGATGGTTGGCCTTGGTGGTCGAGTCTTTCGGTGGATTTCGAGTTACCTGGCTGCAAGGTCATTCTTTGTGTTAACAGAAGATGGCCCAACTACGCGACGCTATACTTCCAGGGGTGTTCCTCAAGGCGGAGTTCTTAGCCCGACGCTATTCAATCTTGCACTAATTGGCCTTGCTGAATACTTGCCAAGCACCATTAAAATCTCAATATACGCAGATGACATCTGTGTCTGGACATCGGCAGTCACACGTCCTCAGATACGTTCCCGGCTTCAAAAAGCAGCAACTATGATTGCCAACTACTTGTTGAAACAAGGTCTCAGCATATCACCAGAAAAATGCGCGCTGGTGGCTTTCACTCGCAAAGCAATGACCCCTTATGTCATCTCAATCTGCGGTTGACCAATTTCTTACGCCAAAACTCACCGGTTTCTGGGCATCATTATTGATAGGGACCTCTGTTGGAGTCCGCATGTGACCTATATGAAGAAGCGCCTGACCGCTATTTCTCAACTGTTCAAGTTCCTGGCAGGAAAGACGTGGGGGATGTCAGTAGACGCAATGATGGAGCTCTACAGGGCCCTGTTTCTCGGTTTCCTCAGATATAGCTTGCCCGTGCTTAGCAATACCTGCAAGACCAATGTTCGTGTTTTACAGGCAGTACAAGCCCAAGCGCTGAGAGTGTGCCTCGGTCTGCCCAGATGTACGTCAACAGAAGCAACAATTGCAATTGCTGGTGACTATCCGATACAAACTCACATTGCTGTAGAAGTCCTATGAACGCACATCCGACACTTCGCACGTGCCCCCGGCCATCACCTTGCACTGTTGCCTTCAGAGAGGCGCCAAGCATCGTTCGCCAAAATTATTGTGAAATACAACGATAAACTTCCCTCGGGCTTCACTCATGCATCTAAACCATCCATACCACCTTGGTGCCTTATTCGACCCACAGTGCATCTTAGTGTACCAGGGATCCGGAGGAAATCTGAGTTTTCGTCGCCCGTGCTGAAACAACTGTCTCTCCTTCTTTTGCACGAGAAATATTCAGACAGCATACATGTATACACCGATGGTTCCACGAACCACCAGTGTTCGTCAGGGGCAGTAGTTATCCCAGCAAGAGGTGTTACCATCAGCTTTAGGACTGACCACTCCACGCAATCTACAGCAGCAGAACTAGCTGCTTTGCGCGCTGCACTTTGTGTGGTCAATCGAGAACCACCGCAACAATGGTCGATTTTCAGCGACTCAAGGGCTGCCCTACAGTCTGTGCTCTCAGCACTGCGTCGCGGCTCGTACGGACAGCTTGTTTTCGAAATTCGATGCCTTCTCCACACTTTACTCGAGAAAGGGCATCATGTGACGCTTCAATGGCTGCCAAGTCACTGCGGCATCATAGGGAACGAACATGCCGATACTGCCACGCGGGCAGCCCTTGAAGGAACACGAGAAGAAGCCATACCACTTTCGAGGATTGATGCAGCCAGTAATCTTCGACGACTTGCGCGTGAAATCACGTTCACTATGGTGCCCACCAAGCATCGATACGAATCGTCAACACCACCTGTCCTCTTTGATGGCTCTCCGCATGCCCACTGGACTCGACCGAAGAGAAGCCACCCTTCTTCATCGCTTATAGCTAGGAGTGGCATTTGCAAAATCTTACTCCTTTGTCATAGGAATGGCCGACAACGCTCTCTGCGATGCCTGTCATTGCGAAGAGACGCTACACCACATCCTGTGTGGCTGTCCATTGTATGAAATCCAGAGACAGTCACTGGCGTCTGCTTTTGCGCGCATCGACAACAGCCAAATGTCTGTGGACACTATTCTGTCAAGTGCCCGAGAGAAGACCTTGCAACAGAAGGCGACGAAAGCTCTGTTGAAATTCCTACGCGACACCGACTTGAACAAGCGATTGTAACAGCAATGTCACACACCGCGAAAGACAAGACTGGACTATGACTGAGTGTGCGCGCGTGTGCTGCCGAATGTGCTGTTTCTATCTTCCCTCTCCGCTCTCTTTCATCTCCCCCATCCTTCTCCCATGCGCAGGGTAGCAAACCGGCTGCCTATAGGCTGGTTAACCTCCTTGCCTTTCTTTTCCCTCTATTTTCCTTCATATTAAGCCAGCCATGTGCCCACATTGTTTCTGCGCGCGCCTCATAATAAGTCAGCCATATGCCCACATTGTTTCTGCTTCGCTGCCCTTCCTACATCATGTGTATTTGCCATTTTTCCCTGAAATAAATCTTCTTGCAACTTAAAAGTTTTTCTGTACTTATCCTGTCCCTTTTCCTGGTCATTTATGCTTTGTTAATGGCTTCATAACTAATCTTTACGAGCTCGATTAAGCGTCAGTTTTTACAAGCTACTTAATGTAGTTGTGCGTGTCGTATAGCACTCATTAAGTTGTTGTTCATTCAACAACAATAAATCCCCTTTTTTTAACACTTCACAGCGCGATGTCACGCACATGTGATTCCAATGAAATGTGCCCTCACCTGGAATGTGACACGATTCACCCATCCACCCTGAAGAACATCCTTTCGAGCACTGTCCAGTGATGGAGTCGCAGTCACCATCACCCGCACAGTGACACCGCTGCAGGCAGTCGGCGCCGTAATAACCGGCCTCGCACTCTGCGCATTCAACGTGGAATGGTTGGAGAAAATACAAGTGTATCGGGGAGGTCAAATGAAAGAAAGTGCTGGTGTATTACACACTTAACGCTTCTTAATGTTGTCCATTGGCGTGCCGCGCACATGTCTCGTAGAGTAACGTGTTTGTTCCGTATACAGGAGTTTTTCTTTTCAGCGTTTTTTTCATTACCATTAAGTGGAATAAAGCGAAAAATTAAGCAACCTTAGGGCAGAGTACAGGAAAGTCACTTAGTTACCCAGAAGAAAAAAAAGGATAAACAAGACGAAATAAAAACAAACTTCACTTTGCGCTCACTATACGACGCAACCTACAAGAGGTCAAGTCTTCTAATCAAGAACATTCTGAAGCAGGCCCGCCCCGTTGGTACAGTCGTTATGATAATCGGCTTCTGGACCTGAAGGCGTGAGTTTCATCCCGTCTACGGTGGTCGCATTTGGAGGGAGGTGACACGTTAGTGGCCTGTGTATTTTACGATGCCAAGGCACGTGAAAGAACACAAGTGATCTGCTGGACTTTCGGAGCCTTCCACTATATTCGGGGTGCGACCTAATAATATCCATGGTTTTGGCACGGAAAATTTCAGACATCATCAGTATTTAAAACAAAAATAAACATTGGAAAGTGGAGTTAGGGTTATCTGATGCATTCACCCGTCGGAAAACCGTACTCAAATCTTGGTCCATATAAATCGTAGCAAAGCTTGCGCAGGAACCGGGGAAGGCAGCCAGGCTGTTTTCTTCAACATTCACGTGGGCTTGTGAAAGAGAAGAGATGAAGGCCGAGGAGCCACGTGGAGGGAACGCAGAGTTAAACAGCGAAGGAAGCAGGATATCCTCTTCGGCGGAAGACCAGCTCATCGGCGGAAGGTGTGCGCAAAACAGCGCAAGGATGTGGATAGCGAAGATTGATTGATATGGGGGGCTTAACGTCCCAAAACCACCATATGATTATAAGAGACGCCGTAGTGGAGGGCTCCGGAAATTCCGGCCACCTGGTCTTCCTTAACGTGCATGCAAATCTGAGCACGCGGGCCTACAACATTTCCACCTCCATAGGAAATGCAGCAGCCGCAGCCAGGATTTGATTCAGCGACCTGTGGGTCAGCAGCCGAGTACCTTATCCACTAGACCATCACGGCGGGGCGAATAGCGAAGATGCGGGTGACGAAAGGGCGAATGTTATATGCTGCGATGGTACTGTTGGTCACAAATATTTAAATTGTAAGGATGCCAAAGAAACGTGCCCGGCATGAGCGGCATGAGTTTGTGGTGGACCCAGAGGGAATTGGTTTAACTACCATTGGCGGAACACTTTTTTATTTGTCATCTGATCATGAGTATTTATCTATTTGAGTTCCGTGATGAAAATACTCATAGAAGTCTTGGTGTACCCCGGCATAAAAAACTTTCTTGTTAAAATGCATTAAAAGATCTTTTAAATGATTAAACAGAGGTGATCGTCACAAGGTATAAAGGTATCAAAGCGGCCTTTAGAATGTTGAAACTCAAAAGCTGAGGACAATACTAAATGCCACCAGTTTCGCAAACACGCAATACCTTCGAGAGCGGCACAGGAGGCATGTTGACGGAGCTGGGTTTAAGTATCTATGACTTTAGCTGGGTCCGAGTTGTTCTATGCATGATGCCTCATAAATTTCTCGAGCAATTTGGTCTCGGTAAATTCTTATGAGAGCCTGGTTTGAATAGTTATGAAACATGAATAGACGTAAGCGTAAATTCATATTTTGTAGTGCACAGCGATCGACGTGACATCAATCAGTTTGAGTTATTCGATACTTGCCCAAAGTGATCCCTCACATTTTTTCCATCTCGTTCGTCAAAACCACGTCTTACGAGGAAGATATTCTTGCGCGTAGCTGTCTAACACTGGAACCCATATTTTACACATCTCGTACCATACGGAGGCCGAACAGCCACCCGTGAAAAGTGTTTAATGAAGTACACGACAGGCTTTGTAACGTTACTTATGTCATGACCGGTTAGTCTTACTGGTCATGCATGCTCTGATGCCCTTCTATGCCAATATTGGCATAAACTAAGTTAATGAGGGGACCACAGGGTCGCCCACATGTAGGAGAATATGTAGATAAATAGATAGATAGATAGATAGATAGATAGATAGACAGACAGACAGACAGACAGACAGACAGACAGACAGACAGACAGACAGACAGACAGACAGACAGACAGACAGACAGACAGACAGACAGATAGATAGATAGATAGATAGATAGATAGATAGATAGATAGATAGATAGATAGACAGACAGACAGACAGACAGACAGATAGATAGATAGATAGATAGATAGATAGATAGATAGATAGATAGATAGATAGACAACAGACAGACAGACAGACAGACAGACAGACAGACAGACAGACAGACAGATAGATAGATAGATAGATAGATAGATAGATAGATAGATAGATAGATAGATAGATAGATAGAGTTAGAGTGTCTGATTCCTTATGAAGTGCTTCACATTTAGCAGTGAAATGATAGAATGATGGCGCGCTACGCAACACGATGCTATTAAGGAAGGATTGAGCCTTGTATACATCCGTATTGCGACGCCACCAACATCGCAGGGCACGTGCGCATTTCTTCATGCGGTAATCTGTGCGAAGCGCTGCTCGCAGTGATGACGGTCACGTTAGGTTACACTGTGAGTAGCAGTTAGGTGACGTGATGTGTAGCGAGTGTTGTACTACACGCTCTCACCTTGGTTGCATTGGGGTCCCTTGAATCCTGGCGCACAGGAGCAGCTCATGGGGTCAGGTTTGCAAAAAACGTGCAGTGCGCAGCCCCTGCGCTCACTGTCCTGCAATTCCCCCGGGGTGCAAGCGCGGTCGCATTGGGCACCAACCCGGTTGGGACCACATGCTGTCGGAGTAATAGGAGATGTACAGCACACATTAATACGGCATGAAGTCTTCGAATGTAAACATATAGTCTAAGTAGCTAAAAACTAACGTCTTTTGTACTACAAATGCCCTCAGTTTAGCACTTGATAGTTATGGTGCTATACTTATTAAGTACAATAACAGTTATTTTTTTCTTTAGTAATGATGTCTGCGAAGCCACATAGCATCCTGCAAAGACAGAAAGTGACTGACTAGGCATGAGACTTTCCTCTAAATTATAGTACTTCAAGTAAAAGAAAATACCAGGTAAATTTCTGCAAATATTTCCATGTGGTCACTGGTCTATAGTTTCACCTATTTACAAGTGCAGCGAACGGTCTTCCGTTCCGTTCGTGCCCTCTTTTAGTATTTTCTTGAAAAAAAAAAGGACAAGAAGAGGATGCAAAGGAACCGATCAGTGAGGCCCCAAACTTTTGTTGTTGAAGTTTAGGTTAGAGCCACTTCAGCGATTAGATTCTGTGTACTGATTGGGCGCGTATACTCGAACTAGTGTTTTTTTTAATTACCACGCTTTACCACCAGTCATTATGAGTGACGATGCTCACTCAGCAACGAATGGTACAAACAGTCACTGGCAGCTTGCTTCCGTATACTGCATAAATGCATACCGATGGGAATTTTCTTTCCCCTTTGCTGCAACAACGGCAGATAATATTACGAGTCGCTGAGTGTTACGAAATTCTGGCGCATACTTTGCTGTAGGTGTGTCTGCAGTAGCAGAAAGCTACGTTTCGGAAGTAAGTTGACGCATGAATATCTTTACGAGGCTGGCTTTTCGACGCACGTCACCGTGGCCGCCCTCTTTTTTTTTTTTGTAGGTTGATTTGGACTTCACGAGGTTTGCTTCGAGGACCCCGGTGTCGACGTAATGAGAGTAGGTGCCTCTGCACTCACGGGTGTCGCAGTTGGGTCCGGCAAATCCGGCGGGACAGACGCACACGCCGTATGTGTCGTGACACATGCCGCCGTTACGACAAGGAGGACAGTCTTCTTGGCACGTCGGGCCGAACTTGCCTTGAGGACAACCTGCGGTTCAGCGGCGAAATTGACAAGTGGCTTGTAAGGCTCTATAAACAACACGTCTGATCGTATTCACATGCCCGCCCTCCCCCCCCCCCCCCCCTCCCCCCTCAAAAAACAAACAAAACAAAATAAAACCATTGCATTGGACCGTTTGACAAGGCATTAAAGGTGAGATGTGTGTGTTCACCCACGATAACAAAAAAAAAACACCCTAACACATCTTTTTCAACAAACTTGACGCTGAACTAACACACACGTAGCCCCACTGTTTACACGGGCTATTAACGTCTTCTCAATACATTTAGAACATTAAGATATCTTCATGTAAGTGTAGAGATCATGGCCGCTAGGTGTATTAGAACGCGTTGTGGGTACCTTTGGTAGAAAACCTTGTTATAGTAAAGCAATTGGGACGGCTCACTCCTCCTTTGTTGAGTGCAAAGTACTAGAAATCGTTAAACACATTTTTAAAAACAGTCCAGCACATCGTTGGCATATTCGAGTTGAACCAGCGATTAAGACATCGCCCATTTCGACTAGTGTTCGATAAATTTATTTCACAGCTTGTTTATTATAATCATTGCTGACAATAGATATATACATTTTTTAATTTTTAATGCCATATACCATTACCACCTCTGCAAAGTGTAGTGTGCAGCATGGCATGTACATACATATATGGCAGCCGCCCGTCGATAAAAATGGCACTGGTACTCTCTGCCTCATTCTTATGAATTTTTAATCGGTACCTGCGATGACAGGCCAGATGACTTGGGGATGATGAAAACACAACGCGGGGTCTACTAAAGCTGATACATTTCAAAAGTAAAGCGGATTTCCCACTGTCGACGTAGCGTACTATTGCAGTGTAGACCTTAATTTCGGAATTTTAACAAAACCCTATAAGGAGTCGCCCCCCCCCCCCACATACTATTGATATGTACCCAGGCTGTCGATAACCCCGCACTAGAAGGCGACTATTATTTTACGTATTCCTTGAGACCATTTACTGATTGCAACGGCCCTCCAAAATCACTGAAGAGAAATACAAACAGGGAACAATGCTTGAATAGTATTCTTGGCGCAATGCTTCAAACACGAAGACAGGACAGTGAAGAGACAAGGCAGGTTCAGGCATTGTGACAAGAATGCGGAAATAACATGCTCAGCAAACACAAGCATCAACCCGCCCAAGGAATGGTTCTTCTAAGGAGGGGACACACACCGGCCACGACCAGCCGTATCCATGCGTGCAGTCTGGCATCCCTTTGTCCGCGGTAGTGACACTCGTAGACTCCGGCGTCACCCTGATCGACGTTCGCCAGCGTCACCGTCTCACTGTCTTCGAAATCCTGAAGCTCCATCCCTTCAAGCCGCCACACCAGGGGCTGGTTCAGGTGCACACGCTTGGTGACGCTCAGGTGCACAGTTTCGCCCATGTGAGCCACCACGTATGCCTGCATGCACGCATGCGCAGACACATGTCGTCGGTAAAAGCACGGTCGTCGGTAAAAGCTTGAAAATAAATATAAGCTTTGTCTTCAGAATTTCGACACGCCAGCCATGCCAAATGGTTGTCAGACTGAGAGTTAGTACATCATCGCCGCTTACGTAGTTAATGTGAGTAATAAATGCGAAGCATTTCCGTCCGTCCGTCCGTCCGTCCGTCCGTCCGTCTATCTATCTATCTATCTATCTATCTATCTATCTATCTATCTATCTATCTATCTATCTATCTATCTATCTATCTATCTATCTATCTATCTATCTATCTATCTATCTATCTATCTATCTATCTATCTATCTATCTATCTATCTATCTATCTATCTATCTATCTATCTATCTATCTATCTATCTATCTATCTATCTATCTATCTATCTATCTATCTATCTATCTATCTATCTATCTATCTATCTATCTATCTATCTATCTATCTATCTATCTATCTATCTATCTATCTATCTATCTATCTATCTATCTATCTATCTATCTATCTATCTATCTATCTATCTATCTATCTATCTATCTATCTATCTATCTATCTATCTATCTATCTATCTATCTATCTATCTATCTATCTATCATCGATCGATCGATCGATCGATCGATCTATCTAGTCAATATTTCACTCCAAGCACGCTCCAATATAGACTACGCTGTTCACCTGTGGTATTCGCCCAATGTTGATCATCTGCTCTATTGACTTACACCTTTAACTTGGCGTGAACCGAAATTAGCTTGGGAGGGTAAGATGGCTTGACGAATATGAGCCACTGGTTCAGACATCATTTATGTAACAATCCCGTCGCGTACATGGCCAACACTTTCCGACAGAAAGTGGCACATAGCCACGGGTGGGTAATTGCTACTAGTATGCGGGCATGTGCCACAGGTAATTGACACTTATACTGGGCGACAACTTTCTGTGGCAGCACAGCCAAAGCTATGTGGGCGGAGCTTATGCACATTTGTTACTACGCCAAGTTGTCCGTTTTCGTGCGACTTATGTTTCGGTTTCGCAAGCACGTCCACCGTGTACTTTATTGCACGACCATTATACATTTATTTCGGAGGAAGTAAAAAATGTTTATTTTTAAGGGCAAGAATACGAAAATTCTTTGAAGCGTTGAGATTTATTTGAGAAAAAAAAGAAAGGTACGGCCGAGCATGTACTGGGCGATTAGAACAACGCAAAAAAAAAAAACATTTCCTAAATTTCAGTGCATACTTGGTCGGCATCGTTGTTTTTTATAGAGCCGCAAGAACTTTCTGGATATTCTCCTGTTATTTTTTTTTACGGGACGTGAAGGCAACAAAAGGAAGCAGAAATCTTGGCACCGATCGGTCATGAGCAGGCATCTGACGTTCGTAAAACCAAATGGGTGAAACGCAATCTTTACTCGGCCCAGAACACTTTTTTTTCACAGTCAAGGAACGCGTCTAATACCCAGGCAAAGCGCAACAAACGACTCCCCCCTTAGACACTGACGGGAGTGGTGTTACAGTACGCGATCTTCAGCGTTGTCTTATCAACAATATTGGGCAGCCGAAACACCGACCACGTATGCAACACAATTTAGGAAAAGATTCATTGGTTTTACGTACAGTTTCCAATCGCACTTTTTCTTTCAAGCAGCTGGTGTTGCTGAAGACTGGCAGGTCGCCGGTGTCACTTTTAAGGCAGATATCGATAAGAGTCCCATTTTCACTTATGATAATACTCGCACATAAACTCTTGGTGATGGCACATTCGGTAAACAAAATATTTCACAATGCACCACTGTCTTCCTGTCTCCCTGCTCGATGAGTACAGATAACCTGATGAACACGCACTCATGCTCACACACAAGCTCCGATGTGAACTTGCAGCAACCAAGCGATGCTGTTGTCTTGTCTCCTAGGAGATCTTGGCTCATACCCACATGGGGGATTGGCCACACTGTACCTCATAATAGATCGTTTTTTACAACGCTTGCTAAAAATAATAAAGAGACATTAGATAGGAACAATAATAATGTTCCTTTGAAAAAAAAAAGCGTGAAAAAATTGCTGTTGTTGTTGTTGTTCTCCTTTTGTTAGTGGCGCATACCCACTGTGGGGGATTGGCCAAGAATCGAGTGGTTTCAAAATTTACTGTTCGTATTTGGAATGATGGAGGTTTAACAGAAAGATTACCGATAGCCTAGGAAAGTGTGGTGCTAAATGTAATGCATACAAATATTTACATAAACGAATTTATCTTTAGAATAGAGCAATAATCTGATTTTATACGTATATAATTATGTGGACATGTATATAATGAAACTGGTTAATTAGTTAACCTATTAGTTTCATCAATATAGTCCCGGACGGCCACGCGTACTGTCGCATTAGAGAAACCAGAAATGGAAGCTCCAAAAGACAAAATGACCGGCAGCGATAAGTCCATACCAATACCACGTAAAGGTATTTCCAATAGGGTTTTTCGTAATCTGTTAAACCGCCTGCAGGTCAAAAAGAAATGGTCTATTGTTTCAAGTTCATCACACAATGCACACAGTGGCGAAGGTGCCTGAGCAGACCTGTGTTTATAGAAAGTTAGATTTGGTACCCGGCAACGCAGCCTTGTGATAGCTACTTCTTGTTTTAGAGTGCGGCAAAAGTTTCTTCGACAGGGATATAATAAATGGCGATATTCTGTAGAGTTTGTTAGTGCTGAACCTTTAAAGACTTGCATAAGCGTACGTCTGCGGAATCGAGCAGCAGTCACATAAGCGGATGATGGACAGAGCGGTAGAATTGGTTCGCTGATTGACGACTTAGCTAAGGAATCGGCTATTTCATTTAGAAACAAACCTTTATGTCCAGGCACCAAAACTAATCGTACTTTTCTCAAATGCGCGGGTACTAGTGCACGGAACGCCCTTGTTACGTGATTGCCAGCACCAACAGAAAGTGCCGCACAGAGAGATAGAGAATCTGTTATTATGACAGCTGATGTAATTGCTGTATCTAACTTGCGTAAGGCGAGCACTACTGCCAGAAACTCAGCCACAAAAACGGGTATGAAATCGGGTAGTCAAAGGAAATAAATCCAATTTAAAATCAGGCTGAAAATACCAACCCCTGACTTTTGGTCGTATTGCGATGCGTCTGTAGCAATAATAACGTTCGTTGTAATACGGCGCAGGTGATCTTGTAGTAAACCATCCAAAATATTATGGGGAAGTAATTTGGCATTATTAGGAAAAATGTCGTCGAATTGTATTTCCACCGAGGCTGAATTATCACGACTCGGCATGATGTCGCATATACGTACGTTTAGAGGCTCCAGTAAATTTTGCACAAATATAATTTGTGGCATGTGAAATCGCGGCCATCTAGCAGCAAAAAATGATTCCGGGGTGGAAATAAAGGCTGTTTCTGAATGTCGTAGTGGTGGTTCATAAATTCTTAAGAATGTCTGAACAGTCAGAGGGCGAATTCTACAAGAAAGTGGAGGGACCCTCGATTCGAGATATAACACATTGTTGGCAACTGTTTTGGGAAGGCCAAGGCATAAGCGCAAAGCTTCTATTTCCAGAAGAATTAGAGGCCGCAACTTGTAAGCTGGAACTTCGGAGAAAAGTACACAACGAAATTCCAAAATGGGACGAACATACATGCGATAAATCAATAATAATGTGTCTCTTCTGATACCTATGCGGTAGTTGCTTAGCCTACGTAATATGCCAATGGCCCGCACACCTTTTCCGGCGATATATTCGATATGAAGTCGCCAGTTAAGCGATGCCATCGTTGTTTACCGGGGCAGGGAAAAGGTGAAATCGCACCAGAAAACCAGAAAACTAGAAACAGCAAAGAGCGAAAAACCTGTGCGAGGAGTGCTTCCTAATAATATAGCAAACAATCTTAAACATAATATTAAGTATGCAAAAGTATACAAAAGATAAGCATATAAAAGTTAGCATTCGTGGACTATATGCAGAAGTGTAGTAAAAAAGTGCCTGCGTGGGTTTCGTAGCCCTGGCTGTGCTGCCACAGAAAGTTGTCGCCGAGTGTAGTATCTTCCAGTAACGGCGAGAACACACATGGGTAATTTTAACGCATGAGTGTTGAGAAAAAGAAAAAGCTCACGTCGCCAGCGTTGGACCGATGAATGAAAAGAATAAACGTCAGGGTACCAGCAGGAATCAAACGCAGAATTCTGCGTGGCAATCAAGTATTCAACCGCAGGGTCACGCCAGGTCTCGGAACTACTTTTAAAACTATAGACCCTAATGCTAATGGAATGCCAATTGCGGTTGCAGTGCTGGCTATCCACTTTTATGGACATTACATGTGTACTCCTATGATACAGTAAGGACGTCGGGTTTACATTAATTGTAGTTAGGTGCCATACACTGATGTTGATTTATGTAGGAGTGTACAGGGGCCACTAACCTCGCGAGCACCAGCGCTTCATAGCAGCTCAACGCTTCGAATGTTGCTAATACTCATGTTCCTGTTGACATCGTTGCGCAAGGGCGAACAACTGTCGAACATATGTATGTTCTTGCGACATTTACACATATATTTAGCGTCATTTCATAATGTATCGCTCAATAAATTGCAACATGGTCTCTTTGCTTACGCACGCTTCGCATAACGTTATTTCCAAAATATATGGGATTTGCCAATTTTTTTATTTAAAAGATCGTCGTCTCTACAGAAAACATTACATTTGGCTGAGTGGTGATGTCAGAGTTAATTCTACAGTTTGGCGAAAAATTCAAGTTTTTTTGACCAGAAACCAGCGATGCTGCGTGTGTCTGTTTGGGAAACTCGCCCACATGAATACGTAACAGCTAGCTTTATTCTCCGTAATTCCAATGGTGGATAGTATGGTGTCTTCATCGGGACAGCATAGAGAAACATACTTGCACAAAGAGCGGACACTCCCGTAGGGTACTGCAGCCCAGCTCTAATACTGCGCTGCATTCAGCGACACGAGTGGCTCGTCAGACCTGATAATGTCTCCAGCGCAAATAAAATAAGAGAAAAGTTTCTTTCCTAGGCAGGGATTTATACCCGTACCCTCATGGTTTGAAAACGAGTGTCTTCTACCATTAGGCTACAGGCCCATGCTTCCACATGTACCGCACATCTAAACCACATGGATGCGCACCCTTTGTGTGAACTATTGCAGAAAGCAACACTTTCTAGTCGGACTTTACTGAGTTTTGTGGTAAAGCATTAAGCGTCCTTGGCGAGACACGATGTAGAGCGGTTATGGTAAATTGGACAAATCAATAAAATTTCTTTCTTGCAAAAAGAATGAGACCAAACTTGGGTTTTCGTTGTCCTCCTGAAGCGGCCGTTGCATGCCTTGAAAAAGGAGTAGAAGCGAGCAGGGGAACGTCACCTAGTGGTTGGTCAGATACTTTTTTGCTGGGCCGCGAAAAGGCTTCAGTGGCCCACTCTTTATACACCATATTTCTCTATGAGGACAGTTTATGGCTCTCCCATAGTAGGGTACGTTCACAATTGATTGTAAACACACAAAAATATATGAAAACCGGGATGGTTACTATTCGTGGACACCTATGGCAACCTCGGTGACAGCCAGGGCCCGCTGAATGGGCACCCGACAGAACTCGGGGGTGCTGTCTCGAAGGGTGCCTTCGCACTGCTCTAGGGTACGGGTGAACCGAAAGATTTGTGTGAGAAGAGAAATGAGCTTGACATCGCACAAACTTAGTAAAGTAGATTAAATAGCACATTCATGCAAACTTTCCCTGGGTGGGACAGCGACGGGCGAAGCTTATGCTTATGTTATGACCGACAATAGCACCGTTTTTCTGTTGGAGCCTTACGGCAAAGGCAGCTGAGTGTTACAACGCCATGATTTTGCGCCAGTGGTGTATCTATATACAAGAACGTCGGTCTTAAACAGGATTTCCTAAGACATTATTAGCTTGAATACGGAAAGACCGCTTCGTTGTCGGACGTCCCATCGGCTCTGGCATGAAGCAGAAAATGCAAGAACGGGATGAATGAATGAATGAATGAATGAATGAGTGAACGAATTAGACGGTGATATAACCTGCATAATAACGGCTCAGTGCCAGCCGACGCTATCTTTCTTTTAGTGGTCTCACACATGAACCCCAAATGCGAACTAATGCATGAAAAGAACCGCAAATGATTAGCTTCAGTTAGCTGTGCATTGAAATTTTAAAATAGCTTTTAAACAGTGCCACGAGAGTAAAATACCTTCATAATTATACTTAAATTGACCGAGGGACATGGGAGAATTGCTATTGTGGTGTCTTTAGGATGATTCCGCCTATATGTCGAGCCCACTGCGTTATGGCTCAGAGGTACTTGGGAGGTCCGTTGCGATGTACATCGTCCCAAAGCTCTTTTTTTTTTTGCGTAGCGGATGGAGGAGACTTGGCAAGGCAGGAAAGAGGTTTGAGGTGGAATGAATGAGAACATGAAATATTGAAGACCTGCCCCAGCCAGGGCAAAGACCTTCATAACAGTGTGGGTAGATATTGTTCAGAGAGTCAGTGAGTGAGTGAGTGAAACAACGTTATAACGTGCACAATAGGCAGAAGTTAACTCGATGTCACCTGGCTAGGCCCAGAAAGATAAAATTTGGGAAAGTGTCAGTTTGTAACCGACTCAGTAACACTGCTTCTTCTCGTCAGGAGGACGGTGGTAGCATGGGGCGAGTGCAGTCAATGTGTGTAAGAATGCAGCTGTTTAAGGCGGCAGCTATACTTTCTGTTAATGCGAAACTTAGAAGCCAAATGCGAACAAAATCGTTTATAATAAACACAAAGCCGGACATGGTGGAGCCTCAAGAAGTTTCGTTGTGTCAATGTCACCAAATATGAAAAATACACCTTCAACTCCATGACGTCCCGCATGGCGCTTTTGAAGTGAAATTCATACACGCCTGCAAAACCCTTGAGAAGGTGTGTACGCGTTTAATTGTGTATAGTTACTTACGCGTGCACGCAAATGCGCTTCGTCAGACACATGTTATTGTTCTCACAAATGCTGCAGCCGTAGAAAGCAAAGAAAAAAATTCACGCATATCCACGAAGTGTATGCTGATGATAGAGCGAAGATAGGTCCTAAGGTTTATGATGTCCACGTTGAAGTGGCGAACTAGTATAAAGGACGGATAAACGGACGGACGGACGCCCGAACGCATGAACGGACATCACTTTACGTATGCTCGTGTGGACTGTAGATGGACGAATGGTCTATTTTTCAACCATATAAACGCTCAGTGGATGGTTTTGTGCTCCGATGTTTTGCACCTACGCTTTGACTATGCATGGCATCTGGACAGATTGAAGCGGGATAGACATCGTGAGGTCTTACGGAGCTTCAGTCCCAAAAACTCGATTCCGATTTGCGATTGTGTCTACGTACTTTGGAACCATCGTGTTCTTCCTAGAGTGAAAAAGCCGGCAGCGAGCTATCACCGTGCGTTGTCTGTCACCGCAACGTTCATAAATGTGACGGCGAAGCACCCAAGACGAGAAAGGCGGCAGAAGCGGGTGCGGGGAACCGGCAGTTTCCGGATAGCAAGATGAACGAAATATCGTTCTTTTGTAGCGGCTGGTGTAGTTCAAAATTCTGGGCTAAATGCAGTTCCGCAACTGCGGCTGCGACACCTGAAGAAGTTCACAGCTCGGGCACCCAGCGATTCTCGTTCGCAGAGTTCCCTCACTGCTCCGTTTACCAAATCGTCAATGTCGTCAACGTTTGAAAAAAGCGAACAAGGTTTCCGCGGCACGAGTAGATTCCTGTAAGGGAGATTCGAAAACTGCGTGTGGGACATGTGCGCTGCGTTTTGCTGGGCTTAACTGATTTCCTTCTTGTAACGGCATTTCAGATAGCTGTAGTCTGCAGTGAGTTGCGTCAGGTTGTCTCCTCCTTCAGATGTCGCGACGAAGCGCCGGTGAAGCGCCGGTGGCAGGTATCGAGTGTTTTAACTCGGCGATGTGGTGTCGCCTTCTCTTGAGGGGCTCGGCCGTCAGCTGTAGGTTTTCGAAACGTTTTTAGCAATCTGAAGTTAACTACTCCTACTACTTCTCGGTTATTCTTGGTAATTATATTATTTTAGACCTTGTTCGTTTATTTCAAACCATGTTTTCAGGATTACAGGCTTGTTTTAAGCCTGTGTTGATCACTTGTTTTCGAGCATGACCATGCAACATGTGACACTGCAAAGGGGAGCCGGGTCACTAATATGCTATGCATTTAAATTATGATTTCGACCTCAACTTTTTTCTTTCACTAATAAATCTATGTTGGTGAAACTAACGACATTAGAGTTCTTGGAGAACAATTGATTAGTATAAACCGATTCATTGTCTAACTTTAGGCTCATTAAAAACTATTAACCATCTCCCTGAAAGGAACCATGATGGCATGCGAAGCAGCAGCGGTGCACACGCCATTGACCCTTCTGAAATGGCTGTCGACGCGGGTGCTAAAGGAACGGTTCGAAGCGAATCTCGGTGTTGCCTTTACTCGAATAAACGTTCCTTCGAAACGCAAAGACACGATAGGCGAGTTGGATTTCATCGCAGACAAATGAGACGAAAGAGTGTTTCCACTCGACGTGCGGTCGAGCATTGCGGGCAGTGCAGAGGGTGAAGCGAGCGAAGCGTGTTGCGAGCGGGCGTAAGAACAACGCCATAGGTGCATGTGTTGGGAGGAGCCGGTAGTTGCTGCGGGTGAGGAAGAGAGTGTGACGTGAACGCGGAGCTGCGACTTGACCTACTTGATATCGTTCCAACAATCGCGGCAGGGGAAACGCAGTGTGGCGCGTTGTCACGGAGATACGGACGGACAGCGTTACAGAGGCTCGTCAAAGAGCTGCTTCGCACCTATAGAAGATTTTCGACGAGGCGGGATACCATCTCACCTGCAGCGGCTCCACCTGTGCGTCTTGGATGGGTGGCAGCTTGATCGTGTCCACCACGGTGGTTATGCCACCTGAATCTACGCGGCACGAGAACAGGCCGGTGCGCGACAGGCCCGCGCTTCCGAGCATGATGAGGACGTGCGCCTCGGAGCCTTGCATGAGCTTCTGCGAGGCGCGGGGAAGGCCGCCGGGCCGGTCGAACATGATGTGCGCCGCATCGCGCTCCTCGCTCCAGCAACGCAGGAGAGAGCGGGCGCGCTTTCGCAGGTGGCCGAACGTGCTCTGCAACGTCAGGTTGGCATCGAACTGCGCTGGAGATGGACATGTGAAAAAAAAAAACGAAAAAGAATACTTAGGGAGGAGTGAGAGTATACACATCTAGCAAAAACAAGAGTTGGACTAAAAAGGGGGGCAGTGGGGACTACTTGGTACGTCTTCCGATTCTCGTGATGCGCTGTAAGGTAAGAAAAAAATCACTCTTGGTCGTCTCAGATTTTTTCCCCTTACCCTGCAGCGCATCACGAGCATGAATAGTTGGGCTAGTAGGCTATAATACGAGTGCCGTTTTTGTTTTGTTTTGTTTTGTTTTATTTCGTTCGTTTTGTTTATTTTGTTGCTCGTGTTGTTCAGTCTTCCTTCGTGATTCGTCTCTGGCCTGTTCCAAGATGAATATAGACCTCTACTTGGGTACAGCTCCAAGAAGTGAACACGAAAACATTCTGCAGCCCATTCCCTATCGAGAAAATTGGGAAATTGCATTTGCGTGCTTAGCGTACTATCTATGTATATATTGCAAATGAGTTCTGCGGAAACCCGCAGGGTGCCGGAAGGGTTAGGATGGGAAAGACGACAGCCGCACATTTGTAGCGCGAAGCCACATGTGCCATGTGGTTCGAGTGGTCGATGCATTCGCCCTCGCACTGTCAATGGCTAGCTGCCAGGTTAGCTCAATTGGTAGAGCGACCGCCCCGTAATGGTATTGGTCCCGGGTTCGAACCCCCGACTAGTATGAATTTTTCGGCAACTAAGAAGCTTTTCTTTCCGAGAAATTCATGCGGATTTCCTTGTGGCTTTGTGCTACAAAGGGTAGGCTGTCTTCTCTATCTATCTATCTATCTATCTATCTATCTATCTATCTATCTATCTATCTATCTATCTATCTATCTATCTATCTATCTATCTATCTATCTATCTATCTATCTATCTATCTATCTATCTATCTATCTATCTATCTATCTATCTATCTATCTATCTATCTATCTATCTATCTATCTATCTATCTATCTATCTATCTATCTATCTATCTATCTATTTATCTATCTGTGCAATGCTCCCTTATCACTGTTGCCTTCCTTCACGCGGGAATCAAATCGACATCCCCGTCATTATAGAGAGAGTAGCATTTCATTGGAGTCCAGGGAGGACGCTGAGATTGGCTCGTGCCACCCAGCTGCTCCCACATGTGGACCCGACGGTTGATCCTGACGGCCATGTTGCGGGCACACTGATTGATTCATTGATATGTGAGTTTTAATGCCCCAAAATCACCATATGATTATGAGAGACGCCGTAGTGGAGGGCTCCGGCAACTTCGACCGCCTGGGTTCTTAACGTGCGCCCAAATCTGAGCACACGGGCCTACATTTCCGCCTCCATCGGAAATGCGGCCACCGCAACCGAAATTTGATACCACGACCTGCGGGTCAGTAGCCGAGTGTCTTAGGCACTATAGACCACCACGGCGGGGCTGTGGGCACACTCGACTGCCAGGATTCTCGGTCTATACGTGTCTATAGAAGCGTGTTATTCACTCACTTCAGGGGATCACGACGCGCAAGCGTTCATATCCAGGCGGCAGTGAAAAGTGGCAATGTGAAGAGACAGCTTACTCGTCACCTCGACAACATCAATAAGAGATCAGATTTTCGCATTAACAAAGGCCGATCAACAACAAGCGCACAATTGATATAGTATGTTATTCGAGAATGGCGCATGCTGCATGATACGCATGGAACCAGCGCACATACGGTGGCGTCTTTTGTGTAATTATAATATTGTCACGTGCTAAAAAAGGTCTTCAGTTAGGAAGATCTTAGCCGGTAGAGAGGGGCATCGAAAACTGGTAAAATGGCTGTCTGAAACGAAAACAACAACTAGCAAGAACACCTTCCATTCTAGCGGGCACCCATGACTCGGACTCGACGTACCAAATGGGCAAGTATCATTATTCCTCCTCTGTGGTTTTACGTCGTAAGGCCGCTAAATGATTGTATGAGGGCCAAGCACCTTGATTACTGCTCCACCGAGCGGACAGCTTCTTTTGTGTATGCGTGCGTTATGCACACGCATGGGTGCCGCGGTTTTTTTATTTATTTTTAAATCGCACCTCGAGCCCAAATAAATAAGGCAATAGAAGCTTCGCTGAAAAAAACGTTTTTTTTTGCGAATTATGAGAGGCTTTTCCAAGCGGAGTGCTCTTTATGGTGTGAAAATGGGCAGTGTGAGAAGGTAGAGCGCTACAGAGGTTTTTGTGACCATACTTTTTTTCGAGATCTGCCCTTGTTAAACACAAGCATGATAGTGGGAAATACGTGTGAACACACAATCTTGTTCAGTCATTTTTTCCCTCTCGCGAATAGACATTTATTTATTTATTTTTTTATTTTATTTTTCCTCAAGGGTCCCTAACAGAAGGGACATTATGATGGGGGGTGGGCATACAAGAAGAGGGGGTGGCGGTAAGAGGTACATTTGTTTGAGGACTCTGGATGAAAACATTTTTCAGTGACAAAAGGTACCACTTAAAAGGTTTCGAAACATTGCCAAGTACACAAAATATACATACATGGTATACTAGGGAGATGACACTAGAAACCATTATACAAGAAATAGCATGGCAGGTCACAGTTCAGTTAGCTATTACAGTTCAGTGATGGTTGTCAGGGAGTTTTTAAAGGCTTCTGCATCCTGAATGCTAACAATGGTTTCCGGTAGGGCGTTCCATTCCTTAGCTGTCCGAATGAAGAAAGATTCTGCAAATGTGGTAGTTTTGGGATGAGGGTAATGTACTTGCATAGTGTTGCAACAACGATCAGAGAAATGGGGGCGTTGGGTGACGTAAATGCTGGATGAGGATGCGTGATAGAATTTGTGGAATAATGCGAGCCGCGCAGTTTTTCGGCGTTGACTAAGGGGAATGAATGCGGCACGTTTCTTTATGTCTGTTACACTGGTGAACGATGAGTAATCGGAAAAGGCGAATCTGGCAGCGCGGTTTTGGATGGCTTTTAGATTTTGGATGAGATAATGCTGGTGTGGGTCCCAAATTGCTGCAGCGTATTCCAGTTTGGGGCGTATTATTGTGGTGAAAGCTAATTTTTTTAAGTGGCTGGGAGCAAACTTCAGGGTTTTTTGGATATAACCTAAAGATCTACTAGCTGTTGAAATGACGTGCTGTTGAGCCTGTTGAGTTGAAATGACGTGTTGTTGTACGAGCTGTTGAATTCATATTAAAAACGCTGGCGCATGAGGACTGGCGTTTTATCCTGGCTCCACGAACTTTTGTTCCAGTCTGCATGCACAGTCCTTGTACGCGGAATTGCGCCGTGTTGAATTGCGCAACTTGCTTTAAGAACGTTTTGAATGTCGAGAAAACAAGGCTACTTTATCCACCACGTGTTTCGATGTTTACTATCCACCGCACCAAGTTTCATCAACGAGCAAGACCCTCTGAAATCAAATGGCACGTCAAATTCTAGCTTCGTCGAATTGAACACTCAAGAATAAAAATTAAAGGGAGGTGGGGGTTCACTTGCTTCCACAACAGCAAGCACGCTTGTTCCTTTCTTCCTGATAGATCTCGGTTCGGGCTTAACATTCTCACAATCACTTTCGATCACCATGTGCTCAAATTAATACGCTTAGCCGTAATCGGAAATGACCGAACTATATGGGACACTGCATTCAAGGACATCGCCACGAATAAAAAAGCGATCAGAGTCTGCTCGCTTACATTTACACAAAGAAGCATTCATGTCTTCGACCATTGACGGGGAATACGCAGGTATTTAACATTGCACATATAAGACCACTGTTTACCTCCTCCTCCTCCAATAGAAATTCGTCGGCATTTCGCTTGATCGAGCATGGTACGACTTTCTTGTCTGAACGAAATGTGTAGCTTCGGTGGAGACCGTTATATTAAACATTTTGTACAGCTTACCTTATAACCATGGCATAACGCCTCTGGGACTTGAACAAGCCGCGAAATATATTTCTTTACCACACATCTTGTACACCAACACTGAATAATATCTTAATTTGGAACGCATTCAGTCCAGTGTACTCAATAGGACACTTCTCCAACTGTTCTAGGCACCTCCTACTGATGTTTGTTGCATAATCGACAGTCCCTGCCACCCACAAAAGCGTATACTACCGCGTCAAATCTCTCGACTTAGCATACAATGAGTGTTATTTTTTGCCACATTTCATATATATATTTAACGACTGTAACCTTTGATCAGCACTCCCAATTAGCACAAATGTTGGCTATTAGTGCACAGCAAAAAATACTTGATATTCAACCTACAACGTCAAATGCGCAATAAGTGAAAGTATCTGTAAACTCTCACTTCGCATTGGCTGCAAAACATAATCGCCCCGCAGGTCGCAAGATCAAATCCTGGTTGCGGCGGCGGCATTTCCGATGGAGGCGAAAATTCTGTAGGCCCGTGTGCTCAGATTTGAGTGCACGTTTTAAAGAACCCCAGGTGGCCAAAATTTTCGGAGCCATCTACTACGGCGTCTCATCATATGGTAGTTTTGGGACGTTAAACCCCACATATCAAACAATCAATAACATAATCGCACTTAGATTAGTTCGACGAGATGGTGCGACATCGCACCGTCTCAGTATCAGTTTCTTGGACTGAATTTTTCAGCTATGAAATGAACTCGGCTAATTAGCTTTTCACTGCTGAAATAATTTTGCAAAAGGAACATAAAAACTGTGGGGCCTTTCTTCAAAACGAGTAAGCGTGCGAAAAACTCCAAATATTGTCACAGTTTTCTCGTGCCAGATGAAGATGATGCCGTTCGCGCGCAAAATGAATGATCCCTTTTCTGGCGTGGCGCGGCTCGCTCGTTTGTGATAAGCAGGACGCCCGAAGCGGTTCCCATAGAAGCTGTACACATTGCGCGTCGTTGAGGCACAAGCCGATGCCGGCTCCGTATAAACTTACCGTGAGACAGGCTCTGCAGCAGTACGACAGAAGAGAGTACTCCGAGTACGAGGAGGCGTCTCGAAGCCATGGCGATGGCCGGAGAAACAACGGCGTCAGTTGCTTTATCGCGCGCGCGCTTCGCTGGTCGCATGCGTCGTTTTCGCGCGCGCCGGAAAGGCTCACTTCCTCGCGGTGCTGTCTCGCTGTTATTTTGCTGCTCTTCTTTCGAAGACAGTTCCGCCGGGCGGTGCAACTGTGATTATATAAGAGTTGCGCAAATTGGCGCCCCTGCGCGTTGGGATTCTCCGTTGGTTTCTTCCACCGGAATGCATTGGAAAGGTGCACGTACGATGCAACACAGTGTGGTCTGGTCTCGAAAAAAAAAAAAATGACACCGTAAAAACTTCCTAGGTTTTGCATGACAATACTACGATATGAATATACGAGGCACGTCACATAGTTCGGTAAATGCCGAGTTGCTCGAGTCTTTTAACAAGAACTGATACCGCGTAGTAGTGCAGGTACCTCTACAGCGTTTCGGCTTCTTCGAAACCGACCACCGGAGCCATGGGATCGAACCTGCTACCTTCGGGTCACAGCCGATCATCGTAACTTACGCACTACTGCGACAGACAGAAAAAAAAAGACTCACTGTGGTTAATATTAGAAGACTCAAGCGGGTTTGAGTATACCGTTGTGCTGAATAGTAAGAGAGCGCACAGAAGAGTTAGTTCGCATGCTTTTCGTAGTGGAGGTGTGTGCGTGAGTGCTCACGCGTGCGTACGTCTGTGCGTGCGAGTTTTGACGCCTCTCTGCATGTGCCTATGTGTATGCATGCGTGCGTTCGTTTGGGTGCGCGCGTACGTGTGTATATACGTGTGCGCGTGCACTTGCAGGTGTGTGTGTGTGTGTGTGTTCGGACCTGTGTGTGTGTGTGTGTTCATGCTTTTTTGACTATTGGAAGAACACCAGCCTTTCCAACCGAGCTCTCTGTAGATATAACTGAGACGTATACACAGGAAGGTCAGCGATCGACCACAAATTATTGTTCTGTATACTTTGTGCTCAACATAGCTCATGGCGCAAAAAAAAAAAACACAAAAGACGGACAAGCGCAAGCTATGTTGAGAATGAACCAACTCGCCCAACAAGTCACTCTGCTCAGATACTTTGTGCGTGGTGCATCCGTATATTGCCACTACATACGGAAGAAGACTGAGCATGGTAAAGGAGTAACAGGAGTCTCGGGGTTGCAGCTTGCCACGGAATGAACTCGGATAAGGCAAATATAAGGAAAAAAAAAGAAATTGATTGCACTTCTCGGCATTTCCTCGAATATATAACAATCCAGATAACCATGCACACGTAACTGCATTGACGACAACTTGCCTCCTGCATTCGTTGCCTACGCCACATTTTATGATACACAACTGCATTGCTTGAGCATCCAATTTTTTGTTGTGAACAGAGCTTCCGTGCAAGAGATGATATGCGTCTTGTTTTTACGAGTACTTTCGTGGTCATGATGAAGGTTGTTCCAATCTAATTTATTCTTGTTTTTGCTCATCCTCTCTTCTCGGTCAATCACGTATTTGTTTTTGTTTGTTTGTTTGTTTGTAACCTGTATACATGTTCGTGTCCACCCATTGCCCGTGGCGCATACCCACTGTGGGTATGAGTCAAACAAACAAATTCGTCTTCTTTCTCTCATTGACTGCTTCTTCTTCGTCTGTTTCAAATAAGCCCACACGACGACAAGTAAACTGCCATCAGGATGTTTTGAGGCGAGCACCTAAATGTCACAGATGTTGTGCCGGTTGCTAAATAAAAAAAAAAAAACTATACGCGATGCCTTTTCGAAGACTCGTTGCAAGCGACGCAGCTACGAGATCTGTCGCTTGAAATGGTCTTACCTTTTCCGAAAGCTGACCATGAGAGTGGGCTGCAGCGACACTGCACGGCCGATCCTCGTTCCACCGACGCCCGAAAGGAAGCGGGGCCTTGCCGGTTGGCCCCGCTACCAGCAGTCAGGCTACGCTGGCCTCGACTCGCGCCCCTGAGCGGCTCGGACGAGCGGGCAGCCGCACGATCGACGGCGGACGTCCACGGGCCGCACCGCGACGGTAGATCCACGCCCGACTCAATTGGCTTTGCCCTCGTCGTCTCGGCGATGTGCTGCTGCCACTGGTGAGCGAAAGGTCGCGCCGCTGCAATGGAACGCGCGCGTAGCGGTGTTTCTCTTGAGTTGACAGACACTCGAAATGTGCATCAATAGACAGTTCAGTGCCGTCTAGGGAAAATGTCAGGAAGACCGTAACGATGCTTGAATGTAACTGAAATCTACGTAGAACGACACAAAGTGAAATGAGTTTTCGAAAGAAAAAGGGACCCTTAACTAGGTATATTGATGGTGCCATCGCACGTAGTCGTGCTTTTGGAGATGCCCTATAGACCTCGAGGTCGGATGGCGTCAGCACACTAAACCAGTCTAGGGCTAAATGAAGTTGTAATTTGTCAGTGTTAATTGCTACGCCTTACGTAAAGATCTTTGAAGACACTGCCGTGTAAGAAAACTTCTTTTCCTGATGACTTCGCCCTGTGCTGAGCTTGAGGACCTTTGCAAACCGTCAATGTCTAAGACTAGAGATGTAATGTTATTTCCAACAACTCTGGTTATTTTCTGCATTGTGATTCACGATTTTTGCTCATCATTGCTTTCTTCGATTAGAAACATGATGGTGAGGGAAGTATTAAATACGGCAACGCTTCATTAGAGGCGGTTATACACAATAATATCAGACTATTCAACGGTGAAGCTCAGAGTGACAGAGGGTGATGGCATGATTAGGCAGGAAAGTGGCCATTGAGCTTTAAAAATTGAGTGAGAGCAAAATACATAGGACAGGTGAGAAAACAAACGCAGCGCTTTATTACTTAATTTGTTTAAGAAAGCACCACCATCTAACGTTACTAATCTATTACCATCTGTTGTATTCATTTCATCGCAACCATTACGCTACGCGGTTGCCTGCCATTCATATAAATCAATGTCGATATTACAGGCAGTTTGCTTTGCATTCTGTGGGTGTAATATCCCCGTGTGACTAGGATATGGCTTCTAAAATTGTTTGTGATTTGATCTTTAATGGATATGGGTACTCGAGGATGCTAATATTGCATGCTGGGTGTCGAGCGAACGTTCTCGGCTCTTTCAGCTCGTTGCTTGTGAGCAGTAGCACCTGAATTGTCAAACTCGTTAGTGGGCATTCTTTTCTCAAAGTTTTCATAAGAACAGATGGCCGTGGGTCTTTGGCCTTAGCTAACGCGCGTGCGTATAAATAAATGAAGTAGGAACTTAGAAGAGCGCCAAAGCTTCGCTAGCTTTAATGAAGCTTATCTTTCACATTCGTGAATCAACAGCGATGTATTGAGTAATCCCTCACTTTGACGTTTCATTCATGTACATCCACATTTCTAAACGCTACTAGGCCTGCTTGTCGGAGGGAGTGACCCATCCTGCTTGTCGGAGGGAGTGAGGGAGTGCTTGTCGGAGGGCCTGCTTGTCGGAGGGAGTGAACAGTTTCACAAGGTCCGGCTTTACGCGTATCACTTTCAGCTGCCGAACAGCATTCAGGCAGCTGCGAACAAAGTGGCAGCTTATGCGCGTTTGTATGGAGCCGATGTTACAGCGTTGTCACGTACGCAGGTCCTGTTGGAGACGCAGCCTAAGTTCGCAGAGTCCAGCGTTGGCCAGGCAGAAGTGAGACACGAGCCGTCGAGTGCTGGGCCCTCGCTCCCGTAGCTCAAGACCGGACCATCGGCGAATGACGGTAGTGTTCACTGGTGCTACTGGTGAGTACCTCAAGCGAAGCTTACGTGAGTTAAGGCCTGAGCACACGTACGCGTCGCAGCGCGTGGCGTGTAAAGCTGCGCGCCCTTCCTCTCCACAGAGAGCGTGGCGCGGCGATGAACGTTCAAGTCGCGCGCTGACGCGCCCCACCGCGTACGTTTGGTCAGGCCCTCTGGTGGCGGTGGCGTAGTTCGCGAGAAACCCGGCGGCGGCGGGCGCGCAGAAATGCGAACGTACACACATAAACTCTGTAGATGGTGCAGTAGTTGCGTGCTTATCTGCACGCACCGCTTTCCAATAATTGATGTTCTCTCGATTAAGGACCTGCCAATGTACGGTCATTCTTTTCCTGATATGGAAATGCGATTGCAGCTCCGGGGTCGCTTGTCATGTCACGTTACGGCATTCCACCCCCTTGCTTTTTCACCACAACACCATTCGTGGTTGCATTTCCCTGTTTCACGTATGATCGGTTTTCCTGCCCGTAGTAACAGAACTGTTGCGTTGCTAAGCACGTGGGTGGAGGTTGAATTCCCGGCATGGTTGAAAGGAATAAGTTGCGAGGGAGCATTGCGTAGTGCGATTGAAAGAAAGCAGGAAAAAAAAAACATGCAGGAAGATTGCACTTTCTGGCGCAAAAGTTATCACAGCGAAGCATGGGCCCGTCGCCGCTACCTGAACAACCAACCTATTTCTCTATATATTATATCAAGCTGGACAGCCTTCTTTGTTTCTGTTTTGTTTTCTCTTCCTTATGTTTTCTGTTCGTTGCTATTCCTTTTCATCTCTCCTTCTTTATATTTATTTCTCTTTCTGTCTTTTCCATTCGTATTTTCCGTCTCACTCTTTCAATTTTTCGCATGCTTCTGTTTTTCACCTTTTTTCTTCCTATTTCTTACTTTCTCTGTTATTTCTCTCTCTGCTCTTCTTTTTCTTTAATGCTCCTTTTCTCACTCTATTAATGCTATGCTTTACTCTGTCCCCTTCTCAATTTCATACTCCTCAGCCTGACTTCCTCATTCTACGTCATTTCTATACGACACTATAGAAAGCTATGCGATGTTTTAGGACGCTTGCCTGGTACGTGGTTTCAAGTTCTGCCGTCTTACGTGGGACCCCTTTTTGCCCAGCTATCTATTATTACTTCGCCCTCTTCCCCACCATCACACCTAATATTCGCTTGATGCTTCCCCCTTGCTATACGCCGGACAAAGCTGCTCTCGTGTTCCGAGAGTGAT